AGTAATTGATAACTGTGGTATTTTGGAATTTTTTTTTTTGAAGCTTTCATTTGATATCAATTTGTTCTTAATTTGTTTCTTCTTAAGTTTTTCAAGGGGATTCGTTTTTTTTTTTTTGGGGGTTCTGATTCAAGGGGCTTCGTTTGTTTCTAGGAGTTCTTGTTTGTATTTTTTCCTTAAAATATCGACGATTTGGGGCGAGTATGGGGGATGGTCCTCCGACGGATATGGGGCGAGGATTCCCCGAACCCTATTAAACTGGGATGGGGGTGGGGATGGGGGAGGGTTTAGGAATTGGGGTCTGGAAAAGTATTGGCAAACCCGGACTATACCCGGCCCGTTGCCATCCCTACATCCTAGCTTGTTTAATATACATGAGTTGTTAAATCAATTATGTTTTAACGTTGTAAGTGGAACATTGTATGCTCATGGGATACAAAAAGTTTCATATTAGAAAAAGGACAAACTACATAAAACCCTCCAATCTATAGGATCATTTTCAAGTTCATACCCGATATTAGGGACATTTACCAACACATGCTCAACCTCATGGAAACCCTACAATTTACCCACTCCATTATCAAAATCGTTAGTTAATATGTTAAATGCTGATATGTCAAACATAGCCCCAATTTTTTAATGACGTGGACTTCCACGTGGACAAAAAAGTAATAAAAAATTCCTTTTTTTCAAATATTAATTAAAAAAAAAGTTAAATTATATTAAACAAATAAATTTAAATTGAAAATTCAAAACAAAAAAATCTCTCACCTTCTCTCTTCCCTTCCCAGCCAACCCGACCATGACCTCACCCATCCTTTCCCAACCCCTCTCCATCGCTTTTCCACCTCTCCTTCAACCAGGATCACGCTTGCTTTGCCGTTCCACCCCCAAATTTTTTGAAGCCTGTGATGCTCAATTTGGATTTTCTCACTTTTTCTCTAGTTCAAGAAAAAATCTTGATGAAGACCCAAACGACATCGTGGATCAGGTGTTTGGTATGAGATGCTTTGAATTCGATTTGGAATCTTCTTATCTTCATCATATGCATTGGCACTGGATTCTTTTGGGCGATGGCTGAGCCTTCCCAGTTGAGTTCTGAAGAGAAGAACCAAGTAACTAAAACAATTGTTTTTTAATCATTTACTAAACCATTGTCAAAGCACATGCCGACTTTTGATAGAGCTCTCCATTTATTACTTCATATCTCCTGGCTCTGTGCTTCAATCTTCTTGCTTATGTTCTATCCTTAGGGACTCAAGGGGATCTTTCATGCTGTCTGAAAACCTTGTTTTCCATCTATATATCCAACCCATGGTGGGTTTTGGTAGGTGGCTGGGTGGTTCTTTGGGCGGCGACGGGAGAATGGTGGCTGAGAGGTGGAGTTGAGTCGGGAGAGAGAGAGAGAGTTGGCTACGTTGGCAAAGAGAGATGATAATTTTTTTATTCATTTTTTAATGATTTTAATATAATTTAGAAATTATTTTAAACATGTACATAATTTTTTATTATTTACTTGTCCACCTGTAAGTCCACGTCATAAAAAAATGAAACCTACATTCCCCACATCAGCATTTAACAGATTAACTAACGGTTTGGCTAACAGAGGGGGTAAATTGTTGGGTTTCTGTGAGGTTGAGTATGTACTGGTAAATGTCCCTAAAATTGGGTATGAACTTGAAAATGACCCTATAGGTTGGAGGGTTTTATATAGTTTGTCATTAGAAAAATTTGCTGTTGTAAATGCATAGATCAAGAAGAAGAAGTAGAATTATTACCTCTGAAATTGTCAATACATAGAAGCATAAGTTGGAATGTGGTATAAGATTCTAAGATTAGATTGTTAAGGGCCAGTTTGAGATTGCTGTGCTGTGAAAATAATTACTTTCGGATTTGCTGTAAGAGAAATCAGCTGTGAATGAAAGTTGTTTGGTGTTTGGTTAACTTTATATTGAAAGTGATTTTGATACAAAAATCAATTTAAAAGTGTTTGGTAAATATTTGTGTAAAACAACTGTGAGCTGTAGAAATGACTAAAAAGGACATGATGTTGAAATAAATTTTTTATTCAAGTGTTTGGTATTATATATATTTAAAAAAAAATAGTCGCACTTCTTTTTCTTTTCTTTTTTTGCCAAAATTAAAACAAAATTAACTCGCCCTCTCTGCACCCCTCTTCCTGCCAGCCCACCTTGATCTTAACAATCAACACCCTGAAAAGCTCTCACATAGTCAACAATGTCAAAGTCAATATCCAATACAAGGAGAGTATTCTGCCAAACCAATAGAGGTCTACCTTTGCTCGCAAGCAGCTCCAGGATGGCCGCACCATTGCCGACTACAACATCCAAAAATAATCAACTCTCAACCTTGTGCTCTGACTTCGTGGCAGATAGAGAGAGTTACCTGGAGGTTTGAGAGGTTTTCACCTTTGAAACGTTGTGAGAAGAATGAGATTGTCTATGTGGGAAGAAGATGAGGGATAGTTGGAATGTGCTCGGGTGGAAGAAGATGAGGGACAGATGATGTAAAATAGAAAAGTTAACAAGGATATTATAGGCAATTCATTAAAATTCATTAAACAACCCGGTTCCTTGTTTAGCTTTCCGCGAAAGTTGAAATAAAATCAGCCCTTAACCTGCTTTCTAAAATCACGGTCGCTGACAGCTATATTTATCCCAAAAGTGATTATCTCACCTTTTACCAAACAAGGTGAACTTCAAAACTTTATAAGAAATCACTTTTTAGCCCAAATAATCAATGCCAAACGGGCACTAAATCTAAATAAATAATAAACAACATAAAAATAAAAATAAAAATAAAAAAACCCATACACACACACACACACACACACACACACACACTTACATACACTTCAATACATAGGTTGCGAGAATCTCTAAAAATCAAATCAGCGGTTGCACCCATTACATCATTAACAATACTACATCGTTACCTTTGAGGTATTCTATATACTATTTGCTTTCAAGACCCAGGTCAATCTCAAATTATTTTAGCGGACGACTCGCGCTTACTAGGAATTCCTCGTTAAAGACTAACAATTACAATGATTTATCCTCATCATGATGAAATTTCAAAGGATACCCAGGCGTGTCGCCCAAGGCTATAGACTCGTTGAATACATTAATGTAGCACGAGTGCTGCTAAGAATATCTAAGGGCAGTTAACCTTCACTCGTGCCTTAGGGAAATAAGAAGGCTCGACTTCTATTGAAAATCTGGTGGGAATCTCCCCTGTAATTGGCAATATCCCCAAATTTCCTTATGTAAGATTAACACATAATATGTCCTCAATCCTCGATAGAAAATAATGTTCACCAACACCAAAATCCCAATAAGGTCTCATCCCCTTTAACAAAGTCACTACACCCTAGTTTCAAGAGCTAGTGATGTCTCACACTGTCATTACAAAAACATGATGAACCATAATTTCTTTTCCACTAGGCACTCATTGTCACTAAAAATTACAATATATCCGATACTATTAAATGAAAATAATTAGCAATCAAATCTAATTTTCTAATACATTACTAGGCTAGGCTCTTTGTGTTTGTGCATAGAATCCCCCTACAAGGGTTAGAATGGCAGTTCCTGCTCCTTGGGAGGTACCAAATAAATAACTACTTGAATCGGGGTTTTGATCATAAAGATCCATTTAATTGTAAAAAGTGGACCTAATCCTTGAGGATGTGACAATACGTACATCTAAGAAATTATTCCATCGAACATTTTCTCCACTGAATATGGGAATAATGACATGAACTAAATGATAAGGTTCTTGGAAAAATACTTGGTTCAGGTTTCGGTAAAATATATTATTTGGTCAGGATACTTGGTGAACATTCCCATAATAATGGCATGATGTATGCCCTTCTCAAGTACTACAACATACATAAGAGGGCTATGGAAGTTAATGGTCAAGTTTTATTTTTGGATTAAAGGATGTCATTCAGATAACTGGTTTGCGAGTAGATGGCACAACAGTTACAAACCCGAGTGACGACATGGAAGTCTTGGCTAATGAATTTCTTAGGGATGTGCCGATACATGCAAAATGTACTAGCATAAGTGACATTAAGATATCTTAGCTGAAGGATACATTTGAGAACGTTCCCTATCATATACTCTAACAAGGAACTGACATGGAAGGGTTTGCAAGATATGTAAGAGCATTGTGTTGTATGTTTTGGGAACTGCTATTGTTTGCACAAAAACCAACACAACTTTCAAGTTGCGCAACTTAGGAGCATTGAACTGCATAAATGAATTGAAAACCTATGCATGAGGAGCTACAATGCTTGCACACCTTCATCATTCTTTCGAAAAGGACAAGGGGACGCAGGTGTTAATGGTCATACGTTTTTCCTTACGATAAATATTAATTTTGATATGGTTTCCTTTTTTAGTTCAGTTTGAATAGACATAATGAACAATATATTGCTTGACACCCAGTTGAATTTAATATGTTGTTTTTAGAGGTGTGGGCACTTGAGCAACATTCCTAGTTTTGCTTCTTCTTCTTCTTCTTCTTCTTTTTTTTAATAATTAATTTTTTTATAAGAAAAATAAATGCCTAGAGAGTATCCAAATGAGTTTCCACTATCTCATGGTTGAGCAAAACTCGTGAAACATATAATCATCAACAACTAGTTTTCTATTTGTTTTAGTGTTTATCGAAAACTAATTTGCACTAACTAATATGCTTTTTCAGAGATTGAGTGGTTTTTTCTTTTTGTTTTTTTTTTTTTTTTTTTTAGATCAAATAAAAATTCATCACTAGCACCAAACAAACTATAATAGTTTACAAACGAACGGAGGGCGTTAGTGTGGCCTCATTAAAATCTTGCCATAAAAAACCCCCAATGGGGGAAAATCCGGTCAAGGAAAAGGAGTACCACCGCACCTCAAAAATGCAAACAAAGATCTACACCATAGCTATATCCTTATCTAAAAGAATGCTTAGCCATCTTTCCAAAAAAGTCAAGATCTCGCTCTCAATCCATACTGGGCTAGGCTATGTGCCACCCCATTACCTTTCCGGTGTTGGTAGAACACTCCAGCCACCTCTCGATCAACCATTAACCAACGAACATCCTCCACCACATTACCAATATTACTCCACCAATCCAACCCATCCTTGAGAATAGAAACCGCTTCTTGAGAATCAAGACCAATGGTAAACTGAGTAAAACCCATGTATCCCATCATTAATAAACCTTCCCAGACAACCACCAACTCACGACAGCATCCCCCCAGACCTCGACCACCTTGCTCACGACCCACAACCTCATCACAGTTAAGAATAAGAGTATTGACCTGTGATTTCAACCAATGGACCTGTTGAGAGACAAAGGGGAGCTTGGACTGCTCCTCACAAGATTTGATCACTGCCAGCATTTCCATCGTGTTTTCCACCATATTATGCAATCATATATTCTGTTTCCCATGCAAAGAGTCATTACGTAGTTTCCACGCACTCCACACGCAACAAGCAAAGCGCTCTAACTCAGCTTTTGACATCATTGAAGCCACAGCCTCAAAAACATCAGCAAAAGTGCCACCCGCTAGATTAATTCTTCAGATGAAATAGGTACACTTCCAAAAAATTTGACTCATTTTAGAAGACCACAAAGCGTGGTAGGCATCTTCAGGATATTTCCCACACCTTGAGCACACATGAGATGTAAGCACCCTTCTCTTAGATAAATTGACTGCAGTTGGTAGAATGTCAGTACATGCCCTCCAAATTAGCATTTTAATTTTGTTGGGGACTGCAAGCTTCCAAATTTGCATCCAGAAACCTTCTTGAGCACTCTGATTCGATCCCCCCACTCCAAAATCCTCATCACACTACCTTACAGCCACACGATACCTAGTATTAACAGAATATTTCCTGTTCTTTGAGAAAAAACCAAAATTTGCTATCACCCAGCTGTGAAACTAATCCCAAGGCGATGCCAAAAATGATATCTCGATCTTCCAAGCTAAAATGTTGCTCTAACAGTGGTAAATTCCAAGAGCCAGAAGCAGTTAGAAGGTCAGAAATTGTAGTATTCCAATCCAGCCCTCTATCCGTCAACGGCTTAAACGTAAATGGTTTTGGAATCCACCTATCTTGAAAAACACGGATAGAAGCTCCATTGCCCACCCTCCAAATCAGGCCATCCTCAATAACCTCACGTCCCCACAGAATAGATTTCCATATCATTGACGACGAGCTCCCCAAACTAGCCTGCATAAAATCATCATGCGGAAAATATCGGGCTTTAAGTATCTTAACCACCAGAGAGGTGGGTTTCTCTAAAATACGCCAAGCCTGTTTTGCTACCATGGCTTTATTAAAAGCTTCAAAGTTTTTGAAGCCAAGACCTCCCAAACATTTTGGTTTACACAATTTCCTCCAACCCAACCAATGAATTCCTTTCCTGCCACTCTTCCCCCACCAATACCGTGCAATCATAGCAGATAATTCCTAGCATAAAGATTTTGGCAATTTAAATACTCCCATTGTATAAGTAGGTAGTGTCTAACCAACTGCCTTAATTAAGACTTCCTTGCACGTCGCTGACAGCAACTTCATATCCTAAGTGAGTGTACAAATTTTCCCACGAGAATATTCTATTGGAAAGATTCGCCTTTCTTCTTTGCCACCTCCTTTCTCTCTCTCCTTTACATAAGGCTCCGGCAGCCCGGTTTACACCATAAACACATCTCCGTACCCTATATTAGCTATTGTTTTCTATACGATTCAATTGAACTAATTTAAGCATCAAAGGGCCTTTGGCCAACACCCCTAGGGTGTGGTCCTCTTATTGGTTCTATTTTGCAGGGAGAAGGAGGCGACGAAGAAGAAAAAGGAATCTTTCCAATAGAATATTCTCGTGGGGAAATTTGTACACTTAAATTGGTGCTTTCATTGAGAACACGAGTTATACTCAACACGTGCTCACGGAATCTGTTCCTCCTATTTTCCAATCCACCGAAACCTTCCAAACAACCATGGTTGGAAGCATGAAGACGAGAGGCAAAACCGCCGCAATGGCTAAATCCACGACGACTCAAAGCCACTCCACCCACGATCCCGCGATCGACATGGTGGCACCACTACCTCTCACCACCGCACCGGCAATTGCCGCCGAACATGGTGGAACCTCCCATCAAGGTGGGCTTGTTACCACCACCAACTTAGGCCGGGTCTTGGAGCAACTTCAAGCGTTCCCTTCATTGCCTCCACGCTCGACACACGCTCCCGCGCACACCTCCAATGAAACCCTAGCCGGTGTGCAATTGGGCTCCACACACTTCTCTCATCTCGATCCACGAAGTCAAGCAGACCTTAGTTTGAGAGTTGACCAGCTAGCTCAGAAAATGGACGACCAAAGCGATCTGATGAGGCAACTCCTCCACCAAATCAGCTTGACTCAAAACCTTGGCCTTGGACAACAGGGCGAAGAGAGAAGGATGGACGAACGCACCAGCAGGCAGCTCAATAGGTACCCAGCAGGTCGAGCAGCAATGGGCAGACAAGGTGAGGGACAACAACTTGATCGGCCTGCCGACATGTCACAAGCATCTGCGAGCCCTACTCAAAGCAGATTGAGTTTGAGGAATAACATGCACGAGACGCTAGCCCCACGACTTGACATCCACACCCGCTTGGGCTCGCAGGGAAATGTACTTCAAAAGCTAGGCCCCCAGGGAGGTCAACCAGACAACCATCGCAACGAGGATCATGAAGAAAGACGCTCAGCTGTCCAAGATCAGAGGAGCATTCATGAAAGGCTAGGTCCCCAGGATGGTCAACTAGATAATCCTCACAATGATGACCACGAGGAAAGACGCTTCGCTGCTCACTCTCGAAGAGGCGGTTCTCGTCGACAAGCTATAGGGAATCTCTTGCAGGCGCAGTCCACCAACACGCCGCCTAGGCAGCGCATACGAGAAGGTCAACCCTCGCAGACCAACTAGGAGGTCAATCAGCGTCGCCAACGAGACCGACCAACAATGTGTGTGTAGGACATAGAGAAGCTTGTAAATGACCGACTTCGAGACTTGAAGACTGGGAGGAATTTCGAAGATGTACTACGTAAGGAGATCGACCAGGCAAACTCCACGCCTTTCACGGCCGAAATCGAGCAGGCTGCTCCCTCGAAGCAGTTCTCAACGCCTTCGTTTACACACTTCAAAGGGATTCTGATCCCGAGAGCCACCTAAAACACTTTAAAAGTGTCATGATCATTCACAAGGCCAACGACGCACTGAGATGCAAGGTATTTGTAATGACCTTGCGAGGAGCAGCCCAAGATTGGTTCCACACCCTGCCATCCGGGTCGATCAGCAGCTTCAAGGAGCTGGCGTACGTCTTCACCAAAGAATACACCTCTTACTGAACAATCAAGAAGAACCCTAACCACCTGTACAACTTGCGCAAGAAGTCCGACGAATCCCTTCGAGATTACATCAAGAGATTCAAAGCAGAAAAGGCAAACATTGTAGGATGTGACGACTGAATCACGTCATCTGCCTTCAAGAAAGGTCTTCCAGCTGAACACGACATGTACCGCGAGCTGACTATCACTCTTAGCCAAACTCTGGCAGAGGTCTACTCGACTGCGGAACGCTACGCGCTCTGGGATGACGATCGAATCGCCGTAGAAAAGTCTACTAAGTAGGAAGATTAGCCGACTAAGCGGGTAGGCCAAAGAAGCGATGAATTTAGCAACAAGAACAAGGACAAGCACAGGTCACACCCACAAGGGGACGTTAAGGCAGGAGAGGACTACACCAAGTTCACCATCCCCATACATCAAATCTAAGCCTAAGTGAAAGACAAACCTTGGATAAAAAGGCTGCCACCCTTGAAATGAGATCCGAACAAGAGGGATACTAACAAATACTGTGCTTTCCATGGGACGCACGGACACAATATGAACAACTGCTTCGCTTGGAAAGCATACCTTGAAGAACTCGTGAGAGAACGTCACTGCATGAAATTCATCGGGAAGCAGGCCATCCAGCGGACTGAAGATCGAGACACCGCCAAGGAGCCGCCCCAGAAGGTCATAAGGATTAACACAATCCTAGCCGACGCCAAAGAGTCAGAGCTGACCACCAAGGAAAAGAAGAGGAAGATCAAACATGACACCATGATCTCCCAAGTCTCGATTAACCTTCTACCAGCAGAAGACGATCATGTAATCGGCATTCAAAAGAAAGATCTGATTGGTCTCGACATGCCACATAATGACGCCTTTGTCATCAGCATTCAAATCGCTCAGGCCATGGTTAACCGAATCCATGCAGATGAGGGCAACACAACCAATATCCTACAACTGGCGGTCATCTAGCAGATCGGCCTAGAGACAAAGATTAACAAATCAGCAAGGTCGCTGACCGGCTTTAATGGTGCAACGGTTACCGTGGGAAAGATAGACCTCGACGTCTACTCCCCGCCTGTAGTCAGCTTGCAAACATTCATGGTCATTGATGAAGTCTCACCATACAACGACATTCTAGGCAGATAATGGATCGGTAAGATCAATGCCATCACCTATGCCACACATCAGAAAATCCGATACCCAATCCCTGGGGGCGATGTCGCCCAAATCAACAGCGATCAAGCAATGGCGAGGAAATGCTCCGCCCAAGTGCTGAAGAAAAGCAAACAAGCGCAGTTCCTCCCTGTGAGCCAGGCAGGACCAAACCGAATCTTGCTCGCTTATAGCAATCAAAGCGTCACGACCAAGTCGAGGAAATCTGTCTAGAGGTCTTTCCTGAAGAAGGATGAAAGCCCGAGGAAGACGTCGAATTAATACCCTTGGATCCTGACCAGCCAGACAGGAAAGCGCGGATCGGCTCGCACTTAAGCCCAGAAAAGAAGGTGGAGGTGACCACCTTCCTCCAAAACAACAAAGACATGTTCGCATGGTCATCGTCAGACATGCCTGGCGTTGACCCGAACATTATCTGTTACCGACTCCACGTCAACCCTGCCTGTAAGCCAGTGGCGCAGAAGAGACGCAAATTCGTACCCGAGGGAGTCACTATCATCGAAGCTGAGATTGACAAACTCCTAGCTGCCGGCTGCATCGAAAAGGTCTCATACTCAGAGTGGCTTGCCAACATTGTTCTGGTGGCAAAACAAGAGAAGGGCAAGTGGAGAGTCTGCGTCAGCTTCATTCATTGCCGAGAATCGACCAACTCGTGGATTCCACTTCTGGCAATCAGCTACTCAGCTTCATGGACACGTACTCCAGCTACAATCAAATTCGGATGAACGAGGATGATAAGGCGAAAACTTCTTTCATCATCGAGAGAGGGACCTACTGCTACAAGGTCATGCCCTTTGGGTTGAAGAACGCCGGAGCAACCTATCAAAGGCTCGTGAATAAAATCTTCAAGGAGCAAATCAGCAAAACTATGGAAGTCTACATGGACGACATGCTGGTTAAGGCCCCAAAGAGTGCAGATCACATCAAAAACCTTGTCGAGGCGTTCAGCCTGCTCCGCCGGCATCGCATGAAATTGAATCCAAGTAAATGCACGTTTGGTGTATCCTCCGGTCGATTCCTGGGATACCTAGTCACGCAACGAGGTATCGAGGCACACCTACGTCAAATCAAAGCTATTCTCGAGATGAATTCGCCCTCCACGGTGAATGAGATACAAAGTCTGACGGGCAGAGCAGCGACCCTCAACTGATTCCTCTCAAGATCAACTGGCAAGTGCAGACCATTCTTCAAAGCTTTGAAGGAAGGACAAAAAGACAAATGGGATGAGAAGTGCGAAGTAGGTTTCCAGAATCTAAAGACTTATCTCACTTCACCTCCCCTGCTCTTAAAGCTAGTCCCTGGTGAGGACTTTTTCGTGTACCTGGCAGTGTCCAACTCAGCTGTCAGCTCAGCTCTCATTCGAAAAGAGCTAGGGGCCCAACATCCGATATTCTATACCTCAAAAGCTCTCCTCAATGCAAAGACTAGCTACCCGAAATTGGAGAAGCTCATTTTGGCTCTTTTAGTTTCCGCGAGAAAGCTGCGACCCTACTACCAAGCTCATCGAGTCATCGCCATGACCGACTTTCCTTCGAGATCAATCCTCCACAGCCGTGATGCTTCTCAGTGACTCATGAAGTAGGCTATAAAGCTAAGCCAATATGACCTACAGGCCAAAAGCTGCAATAAAAGCCCAGACTTTAGCAGACTTCGTAGTAGAATTTACCCCATCGGCCGAAAAAGAGAAATTGGTCAACAAAAAGAAGGAAAGTTCAAAAGCAGACGGGACCTCCACTGAGTAGGTGTCATCATCATCACCCCGGATGAAACCTTGTTGGAGCAAGCTGTCACGCTTGGCTTCCCGGCCTCGAATAACGAGGCAGAATACGAGACATTGCTCATCGGCCTGCGCTTGGCAAAAGAACTCGCAATCAAAAAGCTAGTCATCTACTTAGATTCCCAACTGATCACGAATCAAAAGTCAAGAGAATACATGGCGAAGCATCCAAGGATGATCTTGTACCTTGACAAAGTCCAGGAGTTGTTAAAGGCGTTTCCTACCTTCACCATCCAACAAATGCCCCCGGGCAGAGAACGCGCATGCAGATGCTCCATCCCGGTCGAACACCTTGACCGACCAAGCATTGAAGAAATAGAGCCAATCGACATAATGCAAATTGACGAGGACCCCAGCTGGTAAGACCCTATCATCGACTACTTAGCAAATGGGAACATACCAACGGACAAGTTCGAAGCTAGGAATGTCCAGCATAAGGCCGCGAGATACTATACGCACGGCAGCAAGCTCATTTGCAGATCATACTTCGGCCCTCATCTCACCTGTATAAGGTACCCTTAAACACTTGAGGTCCTCTGCAAAATTCACAGCGGCGAATGTGGCAACCACTATGGTGGCAAATTACTCACCTAGAATGCTCTAAACACAGGTTACTTCTAGCCTATCATGCGCCACCACTCCACCGAATATGTTAAGAAATGTGATCACTGCCAGCGATACAAGCCGATCCCTAACATGCCTACCGAAGTCTACCAAGTCTACCATTCATGCAATTGGTCATTGACTTAATGGGACTCTTACCACCTGTGCCCGCCAAGAAGGACATGATGATCGTCGCCATCGACTACTTTACTTAATGGATCGAGGCTGAAGCTCTATCCTTTATTAAAGAAGTCGATGTGGAGCGATTCATCTGGAGAAACATCATCTGCTGGTTTGGCTACCCACAATCGCTGGTTACAGACAACAGCTCACAATTCATTGGCAGGCAGATCATAGCAAAACAATCGCCCATAAGCAGCGTCCTAAGGGAGACGCAAGGTGGCGACTAGAAGTGTCCTTCGGGAGACGCAGCCCATAAAAAGCATCCTAAGAGAGACGCAGGATGCACCAGGAATTTCTTAAGGGAAGTATCCAGGTTTCTATCCATTCCCTAAGGGGGGGCATGTAGTCTTACAATTGCCCATAAGCAGCGTCCTTCGAGAGACGCAGGGCGACGACCAAAGCGTCATTCGGGAGACGCAGCCTGTAAAAAGTGTCCTAAGGGAGACGCAGGGTGCACCAGGAATTTCTTAAAAGGAGGTATCCATGCTTCATATGGGAAGTATCCAGGTTCCTATCAGTTCTCTAAGGGGGGCAGGTAGTCCTACAGTTGCCCATAAGCAGCGTCCTTCAGGAGATGCAGGGTGACGACCAAAACGTCCTTCGAGAGATGCAGCCCGTAAAAAGCGTCCTAAAGGAGACTTGCGCCAGGAATTTCTTAAAATGAGGTCTCCATGCCTTCTGCGGGAAATATCCAAGTTCCTATCCGTTTCCTAAGGGAGGCAGGATAGTCACACAGTTGCTCATAAGCAGCGTCCTTTTGGAGACGTAGGGCGACGACCAAGGCATCCTATGGGATGTGCAGAACACGCCCGGAGCCCCTTAAGGAGGGTCCTGACACTTGCTAATTTCCTAAGGGGAACCATTCTAAGGGATATGCAGAACACGCCCGGAGTCTTCCTAGGGGGACCCTGACACTCATGAATCACCAGAGGGAGATGTGCAATCAAGACATAGGCTGATTACTCAAGTAGTTCATAAATAAATTCGCAAGTCAAAAAGAAAAAAATAAATAAAACAGCAGCAGCAGCAAACAAAAAACAAAAAAAAAGAAAAAAAGAAAAGGAAGCAGCCCAGCTGGCGCCTCCAACCCAACACGAAGGCTCACATCGCGCATACCAGCCACTGCTCCAGCTCGCCTCCTGCCCCAGCTACATTGAAGCCCAGCTAGCGCCTCCAAGCCCAGCGCACATCCCAGCCTGCACTTCGCGCAAGGCCCAACACCAACATGCGCTGCCCACACCTCGTGCCAGGCCCATCGTCTCCTTGCCTCAGCTCTAGCCCGCTTGCCCCAGCGCAAGCCCACTTCACACACAAGGCCTGATGCCTTGTTGCCTTCTCCTTGAGCCCAGCGCAAGTGGACACAAACCTGCCAACCCTTCCATGCTCTAGTCACGCCCCATGCCTCACAGCTCCAAGGACCAGCTAGAAGGCACGGACCAAGCTGCCAAAAGTCAGAGACACAAAAAATTCTTCCAGGCTAATTACCTTGGATGTGCGGCAAAGACAAAGTCTCAAGCAAGCTGGAACAATTCACCGAAGTTCTCTCTCTCACTAATGAAGTTGAAGGGATGGATTTTTTATGTGAAGAATAAATTGGAGAGCCCTACATTTATAAGGATCAAAATTCCTTGACCTACAAGGAATCGCAAACTCTTTCCAACTTGGGAGTCCATAAAATTGGCAAGTCAAACACCTCAACTCGGGAGCCCAAGTCCACGAAGGAAGCCCAGTTACAGCTGGACAACCCAACGGATAATTTACATCTCCTACATGCCACCACGCGCCATGCAGAAGCTGGGGTGCATTTGTGGTAACCAAATTAAATCAAAACCCTAGGTCAAATAATTCATTCCATTTGGGGATTATTTGACCTAATTGAGAATTAATTAACTTGATTGGGAGTTACTCAATTTAATTGGGGATTACATAATTAAATTGAACGTTACCTAATTGGGTTGAGAATTGATTTGATTAATTACCACGATTCCCAATTAAATGAGGAGTTACCTAATTGAATTAGGATTTGATTTGATACCTACCACAATTAGGGGTTTGATTTACCCTAATAAATCAAATCCCTAATTAATCAAATCAATTCCAAAAAGGGGAGGAATAATTCCCTTCCATCTACGGAATTATTCCCTTGAAACCCTAGCCTCCAAGACAACTATAAAAAGATAGCCCCACACAAGGGTTGAGGTACGTTTGAAATCCTTACTGAAACTCTGCAGAAAATTCCTCTCAAACCCTAGCCACCTCCTTGCTCTCTCTCTTTTACATAAGGCTCCGGCCGCCCGGTTTACACCATAAACACATTTCTGTACCCTATATTAGCTATTGTTTTCTATACGATTCAATTGAACTAATTTAGGCATCGGAGGGCCTTTGGCCAACAACCCCCAAGTGTGGTCCTCTTATTGGTTCTACTTTGCAGGGAGAAGGAGGCGACGAAGAAGAAAGGGGAATCTTTCCAATAGAATATTCTCGTGGGGAAATTTGTACACTCACCAAGTATTGAGCTTTCGCCACACTTTTTCTCACACATGATTAAACATCCAGGATTTGCGGCGTTGAGCTAAGGTAGGCAACCCAAGGTAGCGTTCATGACATGTAACAATTGACACTCCAAGCATTTCAGAAATTAGTTGCTTCATCATTGGATCAGTGTTGGGGCTAAAACATACTGCAGACTTATCAAAATTAATTTTCTAACTAGATGCTCTTTCATACATGCTAAGAATCTGAAGCAAATGAGCACAATCAGCTAGATGGGCATTAGAAAAAAATAGACTATCATCTGCAAAAAATAAATGAGAAATAGTAGGTGCTCCCTGAGCCACGGAAATGCGACGTATACGCTTGATTTTGAGTGCTTTAGAAAGCAAAGCAGACAATCCCTCTGCACAAATTAAAAACAGATATGGAGATAGAGGATCTCCCTGACGTAGCCCCCTTGATGGACAATCATTCCCGAAGCCACTACCCGAACTTAGACAGAGTATGTAACAGTGGATATACAATCCATGATTAGCTCTACCCATCTGTCGTTAAAGCCCAAGCGCTTAAGCATAGCCTCAATAAAGGTCCATTCCACTCTGTCATAAGCTTTAGACATATCAAGCTTTAATACCATTTTCTTCAGCTTACTCCCACCCCGCCGTTTAATAGCATGTATGCTTTCAAACGCAGCAATAATGTTATCCGTAATCAGCCATGTAGGGACAAACGTGCTCTGAAACTCAAAGATGATAAGAGGCATAATAGGCTTCAACATGTTAACTATAGTTTTGGAAATCATCTTATAGATCACCGTACACAAACTAATCGGCTGAAACTCAGTAACTTTTACTGGTTTGTCTACCTTAAGAATGAGCGTCAAAAGTGTGTGGTTAATTTCTTTTACACTGGCACCCCCATTCAAGACATTAAGGCAGAACCCTACCACATCATCGCCTACCACCCCCCAATACTTCTGATTAAACAGTGCCGACATACCATCCACTCCTGGAGACTTAGTAGGAAACATTTGTCTCAAGGAAGTTTCAATCTCCTCCCTTAAGAAAACTTGATTGAGGCGCAAATTTTGAGATGGAGTGAGTATCGGCTTAACCACCCTCAATGACTGCCCCAGCCTCATGTAGTCCATTGGAAGCAAACAAGCCTTGAAAATGCCCACAGAAAACACTGCCAATACTTTTAGTAGACGTACGCCAAATCTCCTGATCATCTACAATAGCCTTAATCAGAGGCGCAAATTTTGAGATGGAGTGAGTATCTACTTAACCACCCTCAATGACTGCCCCAGCCTCATGTAGTCCATTGGAAGCAAACAAGCCTTGAAAATAACCACAGAAAACACTGCCAATACTTTTAGTAGATGTACGCCAAATCTCCTGATCATCTACAATAGCCTTAATCAGATTCTGCCGTCCCCGCATTTTTGCATGTTCATGAACACATCATTTCTTCTCTTTCTAGTAACTCATCCATGAGACTCGCGATCTCTGCCTCCACAACATTTCTTCTCTTTCCAGTAGCACATCCATTTCCCTACATATATCTCTCTATTGAAACTCAACTATTGGAGAGAAACTTCTCCTTTGGATGTCATTTAATTTTCGCTGCAGACTTAGGAGCTTTGTGGGTATTCAGCCTACATGGGCATTATTCCACGTCCCCAGAGACCCTTGACATGCCTTCAATTTCTCTACTACAGTTCCAGTCTCAGACTCCCAAGCATGTGTAATGACGTATTGGCAACCCTCAACAGTAGTCCACATTTCCTCGAACAAAAATTGCTTATGCTTCCTCTCCCAAGTACTTGGTCTCAAATATGACAACAAAGGAAGATGGTCAGACACAATAGAATTCAGATGATGCGTTGTTACCTCAGGAAAAGTCCTAAAGAAGTCACCATTAGCCACCATTTTATCCAGCCTGAGCTTTACATTCCCATCACCTTGCCATCTGTTAGACCATGTACATTTATACCCCTTAAACCCAATAGTTGTCAATCCACACTCCTCCAAAGCTTCCCGAAAGGCTCTCATTTGTGACATGGGTCGGAATTGGCGACCAAAGTACTCATGAGCCTCAAGTATTTCATTGAAATCCCCTCCTACAATCCATGGCCCATGAACAGTACCTGCAATTCGTTGTAACAAATCCCAAGAGTGCCGACGTAACCTCATTTCAGGATTACCATAAAACCAAGTAAAACGGAAAGTCTCCATATCCACTCCCTTTAAAATAGCTTTAATATGCCCTGGAGAAGAAGATAGAATAGTTACTTCCACATGTTGCCATAATAAAGCTAACCTTCCTGTGCCAATCCTTCTCTACCAACACTGAAACACCCCCACCCCATCATACCCAACTGCCGTTACACACACTTCATCTGGCTCACTGTCTTTTTGGTCTCCGACAAAAAGATGATGCGAGGCTTTTTATCTTTGAGAAGGAATCTCATAGCTCGGAATGTTCGTGGGTTGCCCAGACCCCGAACATTCCAACATAATATTGTCATTTCTCATGATGGGCCCGACTCCCAGGACCCATCACGGGTGTGCGCTTAGCACCAGTTGTATGATCAGCACCATGTCTCCCCTTTTTGCAAGTGGCTTCTAATTGCGTTTGATTCTTGGTTGTCACATGACTCCTCCAGGACCTGGCATTGCCCATCTGAAAGCCACGTTATATACTACCTTTGCATAATGAAGTTGGCGGCCTCAAGGTAGCATAAGTCGTAGTGGTATCTTCCCCCAAAACTGTTTTACCTTTATCTGAACGCTTTTAAGCAGTAGGAAGAATCTGTGAGATATCCCCATCCAATCTCAGGTGGCCTATATCCGACAACGCAGACTCAGAGACTCCTTAGTTCAGTTGCACCCTACCTTCCCTGTGGCCAACCACATCACCATCGTCCCCTTGTGAGGAGGCCATAACCTCCTTCTCCCTATGCACTCGACGCCTTTTAAAGACTTGCACCAAGGGGCAATCCATCCCACTATCCATCTCCATCACTCCTTGCTCGGCAAAAGCCCCGTTGAGGGATCTAACCACCCCTGTACGCTTGGACAGCGTTAAAACCTTATCATCTTTTTAAGTATCGTCGTTGAATAAACCTAGCCACTTGCCTTTTAAATTATTCTCTGCCCGGATACTATACACATCCTTCATTATCGTTTTCCACCTTCCATATTATTCATCTTCAATAGCCCATGAGGCCTTGACACTGCATGCAGAACCCACATGGTCCAGACGCCCACAATATAAGCAGAAATACGAGAACCCCTCATATTCTATTTCATACTGTTTAGCCGGTTCATCTGCCGACAAACGCAGTGTGACACACCTTTTCAGCGGCTCATTGATTTTCAATCCTACCGTAATACGCAGAAAGCTCCCCAAACAGTCTCCATTTAAGCCACGATCCACTATGTAGAACATACCCAAAAAATTCCCTAGTTTTTCTCCCATGGCTGGGGTCAAAAATATCGGCAGAATACGCCGCACTCGCACCCAAAAACTTTGCGAATCCACCGAAACGGACATAGGGTCCACTGCACCATCAGTGCTTGTCAATAGCAACAACGCTTTATCAAAAGTCCAAGGGGAGCCCCTCATCACATTCTTCCTATCGAAATCTGATTTGAAAAAGAACAGGAACTTCTTGGGGTCGTCCAGAGACACCGCAGTGAACTCCTCTCTTGTATGCCATATCCTCTTCAACGTGCCAAATAAAGCCTCCTTATGAAACACCTTTGAAGTGAGCAACTTCCCAATGAGCAAAAACCGTTTAGCCTTCAAGTTTCCGAGATCCTCTAACCCGACAACCTCCACTGATTCAGATTCTGAAATTGCCAAGGAAGAGGTGAGACCAGACACCAAATCATCAACAGCCGCCATCATCCACTCGATGCTTCCCACTGTTAACCTAAGACAACACCCTACACTCACTTGAACAATAGTGCCGCCATATTTCACACCATACATGTGATGAGAAAGAAGCAACCGTAAAACATAAGCAATCACCTAGAAACCCTAACCAACCTGTGCTTGAGACTGGCAGGCCTAAAAGAACGAAATCCCACAAATTACCAAAACCCTAAATGAAGCCAGTTGTCACTGCCGCCGCCTTAAGAAGAGCAAGGTCCAAGGGAACCAATAGAGCAGATGTGTAGAGTGTGGATTTGGGGGAGCAAGCCACCATACATCATACTTAAGCGATCTATCAAGTAGTGATCAAAATTGACCATAGACTCTTAGATTTGGGAATTTGTTGTTGGAGTAAAATAGCTGCAGCAATCCAATTGCAAACTAAGTAAATCTTAGGGATAGATGACTTTTGCGTTTGAGATTTGGTGGGTGGAAAGACACGGGTTGACGAAGGTGTTGAGGGATGAGATGAAAGAGAGGTGAGGGAGATATGAGGGTTGTAGAACAAAGGGTGAGGAAGTTCAAAGAGAGAAGGAGAGGATCTATGGGCCAACATTAGAAAATACAGCAAAGGGAAGGCTTTCGATAGGAAACACGTAAAGTAAAGGAGAGGAGCCATACAAAAAGAGGCACATTAGCCAGACCATAGGTGGTGGAGGAGCCGCCTCGAATGGCTGCAGGATAGCCACCAACTGCTCAAAGGAGGGCGGTGGAGACGAGAGAAATTTTAGAGAGAATGAGGAGCCTATCTCTCTAAAACTTCACTATTAAGAAATTGCAAGTCGTTCAATTCACTTGTTTAAACTCATGAATGTTACTAAAAAAAATTGATGAATATCAAACTATAAATTTGATTTTCAGACTTGTAATATTTCCTCACTCATCTTATCTTCAAAATTGTATCATTCGTTCAAAAATCTGGATTCCATCTAGTAAATCTGAGCCTTTTGACCAAAAATATCTGGGCCTTGGGCCCTCATTGTAACTAAAAGATAAAGTTAAAAGAAAATTCATAATTAAAAGCTTTTATTTTATTCTTTTCATAATAAGACTACAATGTGTTTTATCCAAAAAAAGAAAAGAAAAAAAACAGAAAGAAAAAGAATGTTTATTTTTTAAAATTTTTAATTAGAGGAGGGACGTTCTGGAGTAAGAGATGGAAACATACAAAAGCGTTTTCAATATCTCATGAACATCTCCTACTCTGTTTCCTCCGCCGTTTACAAGCCCGCCCACCCCACTTTCAGAATCACCCTTCTTTCTCAAAAATGGCAGAAAACACGGAGATTGTAAGCAAAGAAGAAGATCCTAAAGGACCCAAAAACTTATTCTCACTGTTTCCCAAGTTCAAGCTTCAATTTCCATTCTTGAAGCAAGAATCAAAAGCAGGCGTGGCTGTTGAAGATGAACCGACGAAGGCAGTAGCTGGTGATGAAGGACTTGAAAGTAAGACTCAGAAACCGGACACTGTGAGGTTCCCAAAAGCGCAACTTGTTGTTCCTCCTCCTGTGGCGGTTGAGAATGAAGAGCCTTCAACTAAGACTTCCAATCCTATTATACTCTGGCAGGCATGGTTTTTTGAACTTTATGTATTTATTTTTTCTGATTTACATGAATTTCTGTTGGGTATTGAGAATAAATGGAGGGAATGAAGAAAGAAAAATGAAACCTTGTGTGTTATGTTGTTTGGTTTAGAATTAGTTGTATTTGAAATATGGGTTTTCATTCATGATGTATGTAAGTTGGGTTTCATGCATCCTCTTAGGTGAAGATAAAAAATTTCTTAAGGAAATTTTGAAGAAAATAAATTTTGGGTACGAACAAATATCATATCATGTTGTGTGGACAGAAATCTATCAGAAAAGAAAAGTATTTTGCTTGAACTTTTGATTACAAAAAACCAAAATTCGATAGGAAGGGGCCAAGTATAGGAGTAACACTTAAAGAAAGGGGTTTTGAGCACCCAACTTGGGATTCCAACCCTTTTATCAAAGTTTGCATTGCTTTCCCAAAAAAGGGGTAAAAAAGAAGTCAAACAGAAGGTTCTTAATTTTGTTTGTACCATGAAATCTATAGACTCACCTTGCTATTTATTTCATTATTGCTTGATTATAGTCCACTGAAACGTTGAGAACAGCAAGATGCTTGTAATAGATAGCAGTCTATATGCATGCTTAAGTAGTTAAGCAGCCTAGCTTAGTAAACATATGGACTATGGGATTTGGAGGAAGTGCAGCAAGGATGAGGACATCTGTTTACTTAACAGCGTATTGATATTATGAGATTTTTTTTTGAAGATTGGTGATGACACAGTCATGCCAGTGTCAAATGATGATTATTTTAGCACAGTGGTGGAAAGTCTCAAGTTGGTTCCTTAGGTATGGTTGAAAGAGTGTGTAGGGGAGTTGTCATTGAGACTTAGGTGGGGTGATGAACATCAAGTATTAATTCACTAGATAAGAAATTACATAGTTATAGTTGAGTCAATATATGGCTTGGCCAATATGTGAGGTACTTATCTGCTATTTTTGGTGCCTTATTAGTGGATGGAGATATGTTGCTAAGAATTTGAATGATTTATGTTGAAACCTAACATTTCAGTATCTTATGGAATGTAATTAACAAAGTTTATGGTTTAATTATTTCGCTTGTAAGGCAGTAGGACTTGGAACATCAGTATGGTAACGGTTTGATACTTGTTGACTGGATGCGCTTTGCATCTCTTGTGAGACACCTGGTTATATGTTCATGGTCAGCAGAATCTTTAGATATTTTAGTAAAGTCCCATTAGTGGCATTGATTTCAAAGCTCTAAGAAAGGTGGTTAGGATTTCATTGTTTTGACATTGTTTCTTTCAAAAAAAAAGAAAAAAAGAAATCTTTGTTTTGACCAAAAAAAAGAAAAAAGAAGAAGATGCATATTTCATCTTTCAAGGAAGCACATGAAGCAAACAAAGAACAGTGGAATAGTTGAGGATAGGTCACTAGCCCTGCTCTCCACCATTTCCTTCAGTTCGCTTGTGTTCGTATTGTATACTTGTACTCATTGAGGTGGGTGGCTGAAAGTTAATACCATGTTGATCCTTGTCTTCTCCTGTTGTGATGAAATTATCGGAGCTCACTATTAAGTTCTGACTTTGTGGCTTTCTAGTATCCAAACTTGCACTTAAGTTGAGATTATGCAATAGCATGCTAATAGTCAATCCTTTAGCGGCAAAGTTATCGGCTTTCTGTCCGTTATTTGTCTAAATGAGCTATTTTCTTTCTTCTCTATCATGTTTCATTTAGTTTTTTTCCCCTGTTAATTTGAATATTTTCTGTTCTCAGTACACATTCATTAGCCTTCTCATAGTTGTACTGATCACCCATTTGTTTTTGGGCACATGTCATATCACATTTCACTCATTATGATAAACTGATACTTGGATTAAACGAGGGAAATAGATAGGACCGCAACTTTTCCAGGCTGTCTATATAGGTGCAAATCATGCATTTTGGGGGTTTAAATATCATGTTGAAGGCCATATCGTGTATACAGAATAACATCTTTGTTAAAATTTGAGTTAAAGATTATGAATAAGAGGGGGTATGGGTGGGCTGTGGAATACCTACATATTTGAGACTTTGGTGTTGTGTTTGGCAGTCATCTGAATATTTAGTAAGGACAGTAACTGTTTGGTTGATTATATTAGCCATTGTGTTGGCTTTTCATTATTTTTTTGGTACAGGTCCTCTTTTCTTATTTAATCAATGTCGACTTTGTACTATTTTCTAATGTTTTTAATTGGCAGTTTTCAGTTTGCCCTATGAATTTTCAACTACTTTAGCACTGTGCTTGTTTGTGGGTACTATGGCCAGATGGTTGAGGTTTCAGTACTTTGTTTCAGATATGGAAGAAAAACTTAGCTGGAACTGGTGATATATGCACAGGTTGTATTTTTCTCTCCCTGCTTGGAGAGTGAAAGACAACTGATTTATACAACCTTTTCGTGCAAGTTTTTCTCCAGTTGTGAATATGAACAGACACTAAAGGAAAATAAAGAACTAGACTATCTGGATGTCCTTCAAATTTAAGTTTTACTTGTTTCCTTTAATTATTTAGTGATTTTACTTTGCCTTCTTTCAGGTTTATGCTATTGGGGGGTTTCTGGTTTTGAGGTGGATCTGGGCAAGATGGAACGAAAGAAGGGATCGAAAGGAGGGGTCTTCTGATGATGAACGATCTTCTCCTGATGATGAACGATCTTCTCCTGATGAATAGGTTTTTCATATGCTATAGTTAACCCTTGAAATATGGAACATCGAAAATGCATATTACTTTCTGGATTCCTCTTGTAAGAAAATCAGTCCATCAAAACATTAGTGTGCTTAGTAAAGAAAGTGGCTTCCCTTTTTATTTCCTCTATTCATTTTGTCACTACTAGTTATTAGATTAAATTTCTCTTCTGATTTGGTTCCCTTTGATTGATAATGGGTTACACATCTCATGGATGTGATTAGTTGTGCTGCACAAACTAGATTTAGCTTTCTGATAGAAAAAATCTTGGACACCTCTTAACAATCTACTTTGATAAATTGGATCAAGATATACATGTACCAAGAAAAGTCGGACAAAACTACCATTCGAGTGGCAAAACATGCATTTGCAGCCTAATTTTGAGGACATCTGCATCCCAAATTAAGACGAACAGTGAAGCTTGTTAAAGTTTCTTGATACCATAATTAAAGATGTCTGAACGTGATCTATTACCACAATTTTATACCAAAATCTTTATCATGATACAAGGAGGAACGTCAATTTGATGAGTTCTAACTTCTAATCAAAAGTGCTTTTAAGTGCGTTTGACAAAAAATCATTTAGAAGTACTTATGGTTCATAATAGCGTTTTATGGAAAACTGGTTCTAAATGCTTTTACACGAAAAATTTCGACGTTTCTTATAATAAAAGTGTTCACCACAAAAATGTATATGAGTAAAAGTGTTTTCTATCAAACCATTTAGAAGTACTTATGGTTCATAATAGCGTTTTATGGAAAACCGGTTCTAAATGCTTTTACACGAAAAATTTCGACGTTTCTTATAATAAAAGTGTTCACCACAAAAATGTATATGAGTAAAAGTGTTTTCTATTGAAGTAGTTCCAAATGAGACTATATACCAACCAAATAAATTGACTAACTGACACTTGGATGAAACGCATGGATTATTTTGGTAAAGGGAGTATTTTTTACACATCATTTTAAGTTTAGGTGTACAATCATTACAAAGTACAAAGAGAAAAATCATGGTTCTCCTTTATATTTTATAAGGGTAAATTACTCAAATGGTCCTCAAATTTGTACCCGATTTACATTCTGGTCCCTCAATTAAATTATTAGTCCAAATGATACATAAACTACATTGTAATAGACCATTTGATCCAACCGTTAAATTTTTTGTGAGTTTTTAACCAGTCAACGCCTGTGGTGGGGTCTAGGATGGGTATATGCGTCTTTTTAAACATCAAAAGGCTTTGATTGTCTTCTCCGATTAGCCAAAGACGTCGTCTTCAGTTCGTGAAAACGGAGGTTCGAAGGCAACAGCAGAGATTTTGGAGTTCTTAGGGTTCCTATTTGGGGGTTTTGCGGCATTTTCTGGATTTCGATCATTGTGGATGCTCGTCACTGATGGAGTTCGAGTTCGAGTTCCATTGGGGTGGAGAGAATCCCAAATACGGTAAGGGATTCTCTGTTTGTATTTTATATTCATCTTGTTTTGCAAATCGATGCTTTTTGTTTGCAAGTGTGTGGTCCAATGTCAGTTTCTTTATGTTGAAAAGATTCTCTGGCATTTTATTTCCTTTATGTTGGCATTGACTGCAAAGTATAGGTTTTTATGTTTGGTGTGGTCCCTTTGTTGTCTACTTCACACTTAATTCACTATTAGCATTGCGTGAAATTGTAAAAAAAATTTAACCCTAAACCTGTAGCATTAGATAAAGGAGATGTGTGTGCAGCTAACTCTGAAATTTGATGTCTAATTTTTGCAGCTATCTCTGACAGAGTCACTCTTGAACTACACCATGGGGGTTATGTTTGAATTGAAAATGGGGTTTATAAAGGTGGTAAGGTCTGTTATTTAGATAATGTTGTTGATGACTTTCTGTCATTGCTCGATTTAAGGAAGATAGGGAAAGAGTTGGGATATGCAATAGATGTTTCAAAAATTGAGCAAACTATGGAGATTAGGTATAGAAAGGCTGGAGAAAAGGATGGTAACATATTGGAGCTTATTACCTCTGATGCTAAAGTAGTTGAAATGGTTGGATGCATGCCATGTAATAGGGTTCTTGTCTTGTACTATACAGATTTGGAAAATTCAAATGGTAATGAGGGAGGGAGTCAAGCATCTGCTGCCTGGCCTAGTTTGGATAGTGCAGAATATAACTATGATGCAGATGTAGAAAATGGTGGGAAGGGTGTCACATGGCACGCATTCAGTGAACCAGGGGATGCAGATGCAGATCTAGAAGTTGGAAATGAATGGGAAAATGAGGCTGCAACAACTGAGAATGGAGAGGTTGGAAATGAATGGGAAAATGAGGCTGCAGCAATTGAGAATGGACAGGTTGGAAATGAAGGGAAAATGAGGAAAATGATGCAGAATTTGTGGATAGTGATTATGAATTTAGTGAACAAGAGGATGAGGTGATTATAGTTGAGAATGTGGTAGTTAGGGGCCCAAGTGGTGAGCCCAGTGCAGGTGAGAACGTTGGGCCTACTGTTCAGCCCAATGCAGGGGAGAATGTTGAGCCTACTATTGACCCCACTGCTGGTGAGAATGTTGGGCCTACTTTTCAGCCCTATGGACATGAGAAAGTTAGGCCTACTTATGAAGCCCCATGGACACAGGAAGTGATGAAGAGGATCAGGATCAGGGTAATGGTGAGGAAAAGGGCAAAAGAAAGAAAAAAAATGGCCAAAGTTGAAGGAGTACAGGAGAGAGGTGGATTTAAGGAATCCAGAGTTCAGGATGGGAATACGATTTGCAAACAAAAAGGTATTGAAAGAAGCTGTGGAGGAGTATGCAATTATAAATGGCAAGTTGCTAAAATTAAAAAAAAATGACAAAGTCAGGCTCCAAGTAATATGTAAGGGAGGACTGAAATGTCCATTTTATTTATATGCTTCAAAGATAGATAAGAGTGAATCTACATTTGTAATCAAAACTATGAGCCTAGAACACACTTGTGGGAGGTTCGACAAGTTGAAGTATGCCTCATCCAAGTGGCTTTGCAATAGGTATTCTAAGAAGCTGAAGAGAGACGCAGACTTGGATGTGAAATCATTGCAAGAGGATGTTTTGGAGGATTATGCAATGCTTGTCACAAGACATCAAATATACAGAGCCAAAAAGAGGGCCAAAGTAATGATTGAAGGGAGTTACATAGAACAATATGCTAGGTTAAGGGATTATGCAGAGGAAATGAAGAAGGCAAATAAGGGAAGTACAGTTGTAATTAAAACTGAACAAGTAGGAGGCCAAGCTATCTTCCTAAGGATGTATGTTTGCTTCGCTGGTTGTAGGCAAGGGTTTTTAGATGGATGCAGACCTGTTATTGGTGTTGATGGGTGCCACGTAAAAGGTCCTTATCCTGGCCAGATTTTGACAGTAGTTGGGGTGGATAGCAACAATGGCAGTTTCCCAATTGCTTATACAATTGTTGAGATCGAAAGCAAACAATCGTGGATCTGGTTTCTTAGGCTGTTGATTGAAGATCTAAAGATTACAAATGGTTTGTCATATGCGTTCATTAGTGACAAGCAAAAGGGACTCATACCTACAAATGAGACTCTACTTCCAACTGCAGAGCACAGGATATGTGTTAGACACTTATATAATAACTTCAGATCATCACATTCTGGTCTTGCTTTAAAACACCTATTGTGGCCTGCAGCAAGAGCCACAACTATGCCTCAGTGGGAAGCAGAAATGGAAAATATGAAACAAGAGGATGAGGAAGCATGGAAATGGCTCAGTCAGAGACCTGCAAAGAATTGGAGCAGATCTCACTTTAATACATGGTTTAAGTGTGATCTGTTGTTGAACAATCTTTGTGAAAGTTTCAATTCAGCAATAGTAGATGCAAGAGATCAGTCCATTTTGAATTGCTTGGAGAGGATAAGAGTCCTTGTGATGCTTAGGATGGCAAATAGAAGGGCTGCATGTTCGAAATGGAAACATCCAGTTGGGCCAAGAATCTTCAAGATAATTTAGAAGAACAAGTTAGATGCCTCCACATGCATTCTTTGATTAGCTGGCTGGCTTGCAAACATATCAAGTGACCCACATGTATGGTGGGAGAATTTGTTGTGGATCTTAGGGCAAGGACATGTTCTTGTCGGAGGTGGGATTTATGTGGGATACCATGTGGCCATGCAATTTCTGCAATTTTTCAAAGGGATGAAAGCCCCATTGATTATGTGGATGACTGTTATAAGCCTGCAACTTATATGAAGTCATATGAACCAATGATTCACCCAATCCCTTCAATGGATCAGTAGGCTAAGTCTGGGCATCCTCCAATACATCCCCCAAATCTTAGGGTATAGCCAGGAAGGCCCAAAAAAAGTAGGTCCAAAGAACCTGCTGAAATTCTGGTACCACCACCACCCCCACCACATCCAATGCCTCCAAATTATGTTCAACCAAGGGAGAAGCTTAGAAGACTTTTTATTAAGATCACATGTAGGAGATGTGGTCAAAGTGGCCATAATAGGGCAACTTGTGACAGACAGAGCTCAGAAAATCAACAGGTAATTATTTATTATGCAAATTTAGAGTTGTTACATGTTTTGGAAGTAATAATTCCTTGTGCTCTTGCAGGCAAATGCATCTTTTGCCCAAAAAGAGGTCCACACTGAAGGAGGGGTAGTTAGAGTGAGGGGCAGAGGACGAGAAAGAGGAATAGCCAATGTGGCTCCAGCTGTTCCAATGAGGGGCAGATGACAAAGTGTACGTTTTGTGGGGTATTTTTCTTCAAATATGTTGTCTCACAAATTTGCAATTTAGTTGCGAACTTATATTGTTCTTTGTTTAGGTGGCAAGTGGTATAAGAGGTTGGCCAAGAAGTATGCTAAGAGATATGGGAAGAGGGTTGGCTAGAGGAACAGGAAGAGCCAATGAGGCTTCAGCTGTTGCAACTGAAGTTGCTACTTCTTCACAACAAAGTGTATGTTGTTTGGGGTTTATTTTTCAAATATGCTCACTTACTTGTTTGCAATATAGGTCAGAACTGATATTAGTCCTCTTTCTTTCGTTGGCAAGAGGTGTGGGAAGAGGAAGGGCAAGATGTTTGGCAAGAGGAAGGGCAAATACACCATTGTCATAGTCAGCTGCACCTACACAAGAGAGCTCAAATCCATCTTCAACTTCTGTCACTGCCCAACCTGGTTCCATATTCGAACTTCCAGCTATTAGAGGGGGCACATTCAAAAGGGCTGCTATTAGAGGGGGGAACATTCAAAAAGGCTGCTATTGGAGGAGGAACATTCAAAAGGGCTACTATTGGAGGAGGAACATTCAAAAGGCCTACACAAGTTCTATCACAACCATATTGACAAGAAGGCAGGGGGAATCATATATATTTTGTGTAATTTGGGATGTGGATTTTGTTCAGGATATGCATTTTAGTTATGTAAAGGCCTTGCATTTTGGCTTACAGTACAAACAATAGGATCACAGCTTTTGGGATGTTATTTTGTGGATTCACATATTTTGGATTAGAGTTACACTCTGCCTTTTGGTTTAGGTTCTGTAATTTGGGATGTAATTTTATGGAATCATAGCTTGTGGATTAGAGTTAACTCTACATATTGGTAATGTAATTGGTTTATGCTGTGCAGTTTAGTTATGGAATTGGTTTATTCTGTTCAGTTTGGTTATGGAATTGGTTTTTGGCTATGGGATTGGTTTTTGGTTATGCAATTGGTTTTTGGTTATGCAATTGGTTTTGGTTATGGAATTGGTGTGGTTTTTGATTATGGAATTGGTTTACCTAAAATACTCCACAAACTATTTCATAGCTAACAAACACCACATTACATTCATACCTATAATCCCATTACAAACCTAAAAGGCCATTACAGACCTAACATTCATCGCTAAATCTTTCTACTCATCACCAAAATTACAAACAAACACCATGACAGGATCAAAGCAAACCCCAATTTCAATTGCCTCTGTCTACTCCATTCCAATTCCTTTTTTCCTTCAATAACAAGACCCACTTTCTCTTCCAATTTTTTCTTCTCTGCTTCCACTAATCTCAGTTGCTCATCTCTTGCTCTAATTTCTTCCTCCATACCTCTGAGTCTTCTAAGCAATCTAGGAAGCACTGCCTTTCCTCTTGGACATGTTTCATTATCCAGCCATTCAAAGAAATGATGTCTTCTTTGGCTATTCTGCACATCATTTGTTACACACAATCAATCAGAGCCCAGCAAACCATTCAATTCTTCACTTCAACATAACAAAACCCTTACTCTATCTTACCCGATTTTGGTCGCATGCCTCAAACCTTCTTCTCGGGTTCAAATTTGTCCATGAAGTGTGCTGCTTAATCTTCATCCCACAAAAGCAATACCGATTGGATCGAGTTGAATTTATTGAACTTTCAGACATCGCAGCCTTCGTTGAAGAAGAAGGTGGATCCCTCGAATGGCGCCTTTGTCACTTCAATAGCTGGCTATTCTACACGGGTTTGGACGATTTTACCCTTAAATTTGATGGCAACATTGACAGAACCTAACGGTTGTATCAAATAGTCGATTACAATATAGTTTATGTATCATTTGGACTAAGAATTTAATTGAGGGACCAGAATGTAAATTGGGTACAAGTTTGAGGACCATTTGAGTAATTTACTCTATTTTATAATTTTCTTATTTCAGTATAAAAATAAAAATAAAAGTTAAGGAAAAAAAAACAAAGGGGAAAATTTCTGTAGAGCAAATGAATAGAGACGTGTTGCTGGTCCAAGTGTAAATGTGTAACCAGACGTTTGGCGTAGCTGACGGAACCGTTACGACTGATGACAACACCACAATCTCACAAGTTCCCGAATCCCTTAACCCTTCCGTTGCCGTCTCCAACGTTCCGTCACTTAACCTCAAACGCCGTCGTCTCCTCCCTCCCATTCTCCTCAATCTCAAACCCTAACCCTAATGGCTTCCTCCGACGATTTCCCTCTGATCGACGACTCCTCTCACCTCCACGCGCCGCCGCGCCGCGGCGACATAATTGACTCCACCACCGCCAATAACGGCGATTTCTTCCCCCGACCCTTCCCCGACGACCCGGACCGGAGTCCGAACCAGACCCGAACCCCCAACACTAAACGAAGCTCTTACTACTACAAAAAACTCAAACCCTCCTCCGCAAACCCTAACCCTACCACCAGCACTACCGAAGCCGAGTCCTCCAGCGGACAGGAAACGGCGTCGCAGCGGGGTGACTATCGGAAGGACCGCGAGGAGTGGAGCGACACGGCCATCGCGTGTCTTCTAGAAGCTTTTACTGAGAAATTCAATCAGCTGAACAGGGGAAACCTGAGAGGGAGGGACTGGGAGGAGGTGGCTGAGATGGTCAGCGAGCGATGTGGGACTGGTGGTGGTAATAAGTCAACGTACAAGACCGTAGAGCAGTGCAAGAATAAGATTGACAATTTGAAGAAAAGGTACAAGGTGGAGCTGCAGAGGATCACTAGTAGTGGGTTGGGGGCCAGTCATTGGCATTGGTTCAAGAAGCTTGAGGTCATTCTGGGGAGTTCTCTTGTGCCTAAAGGTGGCGGTGGTTCGGATGAGGAACGCAGTGGCGGCAGAGCCAATTCTAATGTGGCTAAGCAGCCTAAGAGGTATTGTAAATTGTAGTAATAAATCTGGTATAAGTTTGATGATGAATTGATTGTTTTGGTTTGCTGGGTTTGTGATTTTGTGTGAATTATGAAAAGGGGTTTGTGAATTTTTATGTGGTTTTAAGACTAGGCAATATAAGAGGGTGAAATATATGAAACTGCTTGGACTTGTTTCTGTAGCTAAAAGTTCGCCCTTTGGAATAGAGTTAATGGCATTGCTTTCATGTTTCGGTGTTGTTACTGGTTGAAGACGACGATGGGCCCTTTATAGGTTTTCTTGCTCAAATGAGTGAAATAAGCTATTGTGTGATTAGTGATTATTGGTTTTCTTCTCCCAAACAAAACATCTTCATGGACTGGCAGATATTTCTATTGGCAGATACACACCTGGCAGCACTGGATTTACAAACAACCTGAAATCCAAATCGATGCCAAATGTAAAATGGAAAAGAGTAATGCTTAAAATTAGTGGTGCTGCGTTAGCTGGGGACTGCCAGAGCATCGACCCCAAGGTGCAAGTTTTAGCTGACAGATTATTGATATTTGATCAAGTGTGCTGAATAAATAAGCTGAGCTGCTTCTTTCTGTCGTTAGGTAGCAACGCAGATTGCTGAGGAAGTGGCAAGAGCTTGCCGTCTTGGAGTGGAGGTGTTTCCTGAACTTGCATTTCTTTTTTAACGATAGTTTTTACTTCCAATCCGTTATAATATTTGTGTTTTTTCTCCTAACTTAAATTTTTTAAATTCTATTCTTTGTAAAGGTAGCAATTGTTGTTGGAGGCTGTAATTTCTTTTGTGGAGACACATGGGTGTCTTCTACTGGATTGGATAGATCTACAGCATACCAAATTGGGTAATGTCCAATGTTTTGACTGTAATTGCAATTATTATCTGGTGTCCGCTACTTTTGTTCAAGTATATGGCTTGGATATCATCGTGATTGTGTTCAAATGGTCAATGAGCAACATCAAATTGGGTAATGCCCAATGTTTTGAACTGTAATTGCAATTTTTATCTGGTGCCTTCTACTTTTGTTCAAATTATGTTCGAATGGTCATTCTCCTTGATCAAAACTAGTTTTGGGTACTTAAAGGGGGCCCCTTTTGATTTAAGCATGTCTGGATGTTTTGTGTAGCATGTATATGCTTTATTTAGTGGCTTTGTGGATTGTAAGGCTTGGATAGAAAATTGCAGGGATTTTTAGAATTAGCTAGATTTTACATATGCTGCCTGTCTGGGTGTAAAGTAATGTGGGTATCACTAAAATCTTTTAGGCTTATCCCTTTGTTTGCTTCAGTCGATAAAAAGAAAATCCTTTCCTTGCTTACATCTTTGCATTTATATCTTAACTTGTTTTAAAAGAATGGAATAAGTAATCAATACACTTATCCTAAACTTTGGATTGGTAGAAGCATACTGATGTTTTGACGGTTGATTTCTTACCAGTATGATGGCAACAGTCATGAATTCTGTACTACTTCAATCAGCTTTAGAGAAGGTAGGTGTTCAGGCACGGGTCCAAACAGCATTAACAATGCCAGAGGTTTCTGAGCCATATAACAGGCTTCGAGCCATACGACATCTTGAGAAAGGCAGAGTTGTTATATTTGGTGGCATTGGTGCTGGCACTGGAAATTATCTCTTCACCACTGATATTGCAGCAGCCTTGCGAGCTTCTGAGCGTGAGATTCTACCATGTCCCCTGTATATTTTGTTTCTAATATACTTTTGTTTTCTCTATGCTTCTTGTTCCTTTCTCTTTCTGTTCCATATTTTAACCATGAGGTGTACATATATGTTTTCTGGTTCAGTTAACGCAGAGGCAGTCCTTAAGGGTACAAACTTTAATGGCATATATGAGTGTCATTCTGGTAGCAACAGTCTCACTGTTGATCATATTTGCTATAGGGAGGTTGTTTCTAGAGGCATTACCTCTGTGGACGTCATGGCATTAACGTACTGTGAAGAGAATGGAATTCCTGGTTGGTCTCATTCCTTTCCTACTTGCACAAATGTTAAACCCTCATTTTTACTAAGAATAAATGTGCTTTGTCTGTAGTTGTAATTTTCAATTTGCTGGAACCTGGAAATATTTCAAGAGCTTTATGTGGAGACCAAGTTGGAACTTTGATTGATCAGGCAGGAAGGATTGGCTAATGCATATGGAGCCATCCGTTCCGATGCTTTGAAGTGCGGTTTAAGTTTCTATGAAGTACCACTGGTCCTGAAAAGGATGTCGGATTTTCTGTTTCAGTGGCTCCCCTTGCATTCGCATGACCATAATTTCTCTCAGAAAACCTCAGAGTCTCCGTGGGAGAGAGCACGAAAGCAGACGAGCTAAGGCAGTTGGTTTATTGTAAATGTTAACAATTGTGTGTAAATGTTAACAATTGTGTATTAAGAAAGCAGAGGAAGCAGCTGGTTCATTGTAATTGTAAAATGTAAAACGGTTGTGTAATAAGAAAACAAAGGAAGAAGGCGGGTTAATGCCTATGTAAAGCTCCCAACCAACCGTAGGAAATTTATGAATTATTAGTTCACAGTTCATCCATTTTTTCGGCTCCTATTTCATCTCTGCACAGAGTTGCCCCATCTCCTAACCATTAAGTTCACCTTTTCTTTTCTTTTTATTTATTTATTTATTTTTCTCTCTTTTCCCTGAGCCTGTAATTCTTTTAAGCTTCTTTACTGCTAGTCCTGTTGTAACCCAAATATTTGGCTGCAGCCCTTCTTTTCGTGTAAAATTTTGACTGATTATTATACAATTTTCTTATGCCTAATTGTAATTGTTGCCTGACAATTTTGCAGTACATATACAACCAAATGTTTAATTAGTTGAAGCGAATTAAAGGATTAATAATGGAGCATTTCTTTTGGATACTTGATTTACCAGTTTCCCTTCATTTATTTATTCTTAAAACTGAGGATGAATTTTTTTAAACCAATGTGGTTTTGATATTTGTAATATTTCAGCAAAATTGACAACAACAAAAAAAGAAGAGAAAGGTAAAGGAATTTGACAAGTGTCAAAACTACATTGAGTTCATCATCATCGAGTCGGGCTCTCACAACTTGTTGAACTGTTTTGCTGCAATTGTTGGTGTATTTCCAAAATGGATGGCAGTCACTACTACCTTACAAGGCAGGGTTTGCATGCACCTTACAAGGCAGCTGCCCAAAGATATTGAATGGCCAACTTCTCTCCTCTTGTCTTGTCTACAACAACTTCTCCTCTTCTTTGCAGAAACTTCTCTTCTACTTCTCTTGACATATAGACATCAACTTCCCCTCTTGCTAGCAATAACTTCTGTTTTTGGCAACAATTATTCTTCTCATTCTCTCATTTTTAATTATCTTATGCATTTTCAATTTGAAATTGAGTATTATAGGGTTTAGGAATGAATTAAAATTTGAGAATTTTGTTGAAATTAATTAGGGCTTTGATTTTAGGAATTTTGTTGAGATATTTGATCTGTTGTTGGTATTTTTGAGTTGTTTGATTTGTGTGGGTATGTTTGATTAAATGCATTAATGCTATTTTGAGAATTTGTTTGTTTTTGTTTAGATGTTGATTTCTCTTCTTGGCAAAATCTTCCTGAATCTCCCATTGTTAAGTCTCAAGTTGAAAGAGTTGAGAATCAAAGAGTCAATGATGATCAAGATTTTAGTATCAATTATCTCAAGTGTGATCTAGGATTATGTTGTCTAGTTTTAATTTTTGTTTTTGTTAAACTTTTATTTATTGATAGAGATGCATTTAAGGGTAAGGCTCAAAATGTCCCTCTGACTATATGTATCTTTATATGTTTATTAACGAAATCCACTTGTACTGTCGAGTTTAGTATATAAGTTTTGCCTAGCCAACTTTCGAATCCTGAAACCGACATTGCATGCACCACTTCTAAATAACCAAAGTGTTGAAATTTTCTTCGGCCATGTATGTTTAGTGCTCGTCTTCTCCAAATTTGGGGCTGATGGCTTGCCTATTGTGGAATGCTGGAAAACATGATTAGTAGAAATAGAATGGAAGGGGAAGATGAGGAAGGGGACGAGGAAAGGGTGGTGGCGGTTCAGGCAAGCAGGAAGGGCTCTATGGATATGAATGGTCAGATGAACAAACACTAGGCAAGCAAAAACAAGCACATGATTATCACCACAAGGCAAAGAGCAAATTTGTTCGTCATATCATTTTCAAATCCATTGCTCCCCCCAACCCCTTATTTTAAACACACATTAACAGCGAACAAAGGGTAGAAGAAGGTAAACACCGGGGAGGTAAATTGCTCAACCAAGACTTGAATAAGTTCAAAAAATAAACAGTTAGATAAGAATAAGATGGTTTAGTAGAGACGGTACAACACCCATAGCTAGTTCACAGTAAATCAAATCTTCAAGAAGAACTAATGGAATTTTCTTCTCCTTTATTTAAGACCTCAATAGCACAGAAGCTTTTTAGTTTGTCTCTCTATAATGATGATAATCGGTGCACTCGTCCTCGCCAAACTTACATTCAGGACCATCATCGGCACATTTGCGATTGGGATGTAAATGGCATTGTCTACAACAACAAAAAAACAAAAAGAAAAGGATAAACTTGTTTAAAAAGAAGAAGAAGAAGAAGAAGAGCTTAGTAAGAGCATAGTAAATTAATGAAGGCTGCTCATGTACGCACAAAAAGGACAATCTGGAGGGCTGTCTCGCAATCATGCTGCCTATATGAATCGAGAATTTTCTCTAGTGGAGTTTTAACATGGTTAGGCCGATCTCGAAATCCTCCCGGTATTACCGTTGCTTCGTCTGGATATTTCTCCACTATCACCTCAGGATTATAAGGTTCTTCTAAATAAGAGATATTATAATACAAAGAAAAAGGATGTTAAAGTGACCATGAAACCAAACTATTAAGGCACATATATCAACGAATATAGTGCTTCAAGAAAGTACTAAAATTTTAATAATTCAATTGAGTGGTCAAATGATATCGGATTCAAGTGATTTTTTTTGTAGAGATGATCTTTGAATATATATTTATAAAATGACAATTCGGATTAGTGAAATACAATACAGAATGGGCCCTACAAGGGTGTTTATCAAATAAGCTAATTTGAGAGATCCCTCAATAGAAGCTCTGTGTGTGTGTGTGTGTGTGTGTATATATATATATATATATATATGGGGGCAGATCCGTGGCATTATGTTTTTGACACAAGTTTTGACACAAGTTTTCAACCATTAGATTAGAATGGATTGAATGGTTGAGATTATGTTTCATTAATTACTTAAATTAAATTAAATCACTCAATTATCTTTCCCCTCTTTGTTTTCTTATCATTTTCTCTCTTCTCAATTAATAACCCATGATACCTCACCATTACCTTCCCCTTGCCATTGTCATCTACACCAACCGAGCATTCTTCCACGACATAGAAAATCTGTCTCAAGGTAGCAATATTGAAGAGAAAAAGCCCAGATTTGTTGCAATATTTCTTCTCTACCGTTGGGTTGATCTAACTCTCTCTCTCTCTCTCTCTCTCTCTCTCTCTCTCTCTCTCCCTGTTTTTTTTTTCTAACATCTTAATGGCTTACGATCTTTTATTCATTATGATTAATAATAACATTAAAAAAAACTCAAAAAAAGTTAGGGATAGAGAAGAAAAAGAATCAGAAACCTGTAAAGCTTTAGAAGAAAGAGGAAGGAGGATGGAAAAGTCATTAACTGAAGAATTCTAGAGGATAGAGAACGACGAAATAGAAAGATTTTATAAAACATTGATTGAGGATGCAAAAATAAGAAAGAGAAAGTCAATTAATAATTATTTTTAATATATATTTTTCTTTAAAATATATAATTAGTTTAGCTAATCTTAGCCATTCAATCCATTTCAATCTAATGGTTGAAAACTTGTGTAAAAAATATAGTGCCACGGATCCGCCCCCTATATGTATATTATTATTATTATTATTCAGGCACGCATGAGATACAAAATCCACAATTTATGATTTCTTTGAAAAGAAAGAAAGATTTTTTTATTTATAAACATAGTAGCAATGACTAGAGAGATTAAGTAACAGAGAAAGTACTCTAATAGATGATATATGTTATGGTAGGAGAGACATTGGAACATGTATGTTATGGTAGGATGGTGCAATGAGTACTAAATAAATCAGCGGTTAAACAAAACATTCAATAGAAAAAAAAAAAAAGAAAAAAAAAGGCAGCATGATGCGATGAGTAATGAATGCATCATGTAAAATAACAAACAAACAAACAATTCAAGGGCCGGATGCACGAAATTAATTAATTAAATGACAATTTACAAGAAGGCGATTATGTATATATACTTACCACTTTTTCCAAAAAGCTGGATAAGAGATCTTGCTGCATGCAAAGGTAAAAGCAATGCAGCCAGTCAGTCAGTCAGTATTCTAATAAGAATCCAACCCACCCACAACAAACATGCAATATGCAATTTAAAGGGTAAACAAAAAACAAAATCCAAAATTTAAAAACAAAAAACAAACCAACCCAAACCAAACCACGGATAGGATACAGATGAATTGAACTGAAGAATTCTATTCCAAGCTCGATCTATCAGGAACACTAACCTCTGATACGGGACTTGAATCGGAAACCGTACTCGTAAACGGCATTCAAAGTGGAACCGGAACTGGTATCGGAAGGGGAAGGGGAGTTGGAACTAGTAGGACGGTAACAAGGATTGCAACGGATACCACCATAACCAGAACTAGAAAGGGAACGGGAACTGGAACTGACACGACCTATAGAATGGAAAAACGATAGGATGGGGAGAAAATATTTTCTGGGTTTAAAGCAAATAAACTTTTTTATGATTGATGAATATGTATAAGTTAAGGATTGTACTACCAAGTTGAAGATATGCCCATGTCACATCACATGCAATGGATGCATTTTCTCCAAAAGTGATGGAATCATCTATGTAGTATATGCAGGATACACTACTACATTTTACAATTTGCACGACGAAGAGAATTTCGTCGCGCAAAGTTACTTTTAGTCGCACAAATTCAAGCGCGACAAAAAATCCGTCGCGCAAAGAGCGTGAAGAAAGACTTTGCGTGACCAATTTTTTGCATTCGTTTCGCAAAACTGTGCGACGGTTATGCTTCGTTGCACAAAAGGTTCAGTGACGACACAACTGTTCGTCGCACAAACCTTTGCGCCACGAAAAAAGGTTCGTCGAGACAACACTGCGTGACGGATAATATTCGTGTCGTAGACATTTGCGGCACAAAGAGTTCTTCATCACGCAATTCATGTCTCCAACGTTTGCGCGTCGAAATTGCCATTGTCGCGCATATCCTTTTTGCGCGACGAAGGACTTCGTCGTGCAAGAATAAATTATATGTATTTATAATTTTTTTTACCTTTTTTTATTTTGTAAAATGTGAATTTGCTCGACGAGAAAGGTTTTATCACGCAAAATTAATATATATTATTTAAATTTAATATTACGTTTTTTTTATTTTGTAAAAAAATAATTTTGGTTTTTTTTTTGGTAATAAAATGAAATTGCAATAAAAAAAATGAATTGTAAAGAATACATTTATTATATAAAATAAAATAAATGTATACTACAAGAGAAATATTTAAAAAATAATTATGAAAATAAAAAACTAATCAAATAATGTTCCAAAATCTACATTGTCGTCTGGCACATGCGGCTCGGAGGTCTGGGGGTCTACAGGGGCCGTCATCTAGTGAGATGCTCGGGGTGGACGGGCTCGGAGGTCAGCGCATCAAAATCCGGGACTAGAATGCCGGACCGTGCGAGGGACTACAGAATCACTGACATCTGACTCTGAAAAGTGGCCACCTGTGCTGTCAAAGCAGCCACCTGACTGTTTGACTGCGCTGATGGACTGGGTCTGAGTTCCCTCCGCCTGGCATTCCCCATCCCTCGACAATATGTCCCCGGCCTCCTCCCGAGAGTCTGATCCAACGTCTCCGTCAAGATATGAAACCTAGCATCCTGCGGAGGATCCACAGACTCGATCGGAGTATCGGGAGGAAGTTGGGAGGCGGACTCCTGAAGAACCAACTGGCTCCTCTCCACCATCGTCGTCTGTTTAACATAACATAAAATATAAATTAAAACATTCATATAATAACCTTTAAACTTGAATGCGTAACATAAGAATTAAAATTAAATAATACTTACATGAAGGGACTTGGCCAACTCATTCCCAGGTCGAACATAAACGTCGCCAAAGACGTCGATATCTAGGAATTTGGACCCCCCCTAAATTGAACAAGAGAAGAAAAATATTAGTATGAAAAAAATAAATTAAGAATAATGACATATTAAAAATTAAATAAAAATTATTTTATTATTCCTGCCGCCGTGCATTCATCCTATAGGAGAAGGGTCTGGAACCTGAATGGTGGAGAAGAGTCTTCTTCTTCCTATTGCCCTTATTGACTTTGGCTTTATTATGTTATACAAAAAATAAAACGTATTAGTTGAAATTGAAATGAAATATAAAAAATTAAATAAACATTAGTAAGAAATATATAATTAATTTGAAATTCATATTACAAATTACCACAAAGTCGGGCGCCTGAAAATGAGCGCAGAGCCACGCCTAACTATCCTCTCGCCCCTCAAGCTCCTTCGGGCAACCCTTCTGAAGAGCGACTTGCGAATCATCAAATGCCTCAAAATAGTGGTGCAAGTCGCTCTTCCACTGTTTGTACCTCTCAGAGAAGAGTTTGTTGATGTACACCAACGACTCGTCGTCGAGGTCCTCCAAGTTGTAGTTTGTCTGCAATAAATTAATTACATACATTAAATAATAGAAATATATAAAGTTTGAAAGAAAAAGAATTAAAACGTAGGATACATACCGACAATTGGTCGCGAACCTCCGTCTTGATCTTGTTAGGCATGACCTTCCAAGACTTCCATTGCATCGAGCAATGGGTCCGAACGACATGACCAATGTCGTGGGCCAAGGAGCTATGCAACTCCGCCGTCGGTACAGCCCGATGTCGCTCATCGTATCCGATGTTGATACGACTGTTGGTCACTCGGGTGACCTTCGCCGTCTTCAACTGCCGACACGGCCCTCGGGTGTTCTTATTGGCTGCAAAGAAAGATGACATTAATGTTAAATAAATATAAGATTTAACTATAAAATACACACACAAAAACTAAAACTAAAAATTAAAAAAAAAGAAAAAAAAGAATTGGAGTTGAAGGAAATCTATACCTGGCTGTGACCCCGACGCATCAGTTGATGTGGTGTCAGTGGTGCTAGCGGGCCGATGATGCCGCCTGGCGCTAACAAGCTGCGCCACTGATGAAGCCAATGAAGCAGGCGCCTGGGACCCCACGGGACCAACTGCCAAGTGGTCCATCAGTGTTGGCGCAGTGGAAGCAGATGCCAGCTGAGCCGGAGGCTCCGAATTCTGTAAAGTCGTCACCGCCCAACGACGTCTAATCAGGTCTGACATCTGCACAATTTCATTAATACACATACAAATTAATAAAATATACGAATATTTGTAAGCACATACAATTATATTAAGATTCTTGACCTAGGGTTTGCGAGTACGGAGTATCCGGGACTCCGATCCACGATCCGTCGAATCCTACACAATCCTAGAAATAAAAGGTACAACATACGTGAGTTTGAGTTCGATCCAACAGTCCGAACATATCAAACCTGGAAATTGCATAATAGGCAAAATCCGAACACACCTACGCACTCGTGACAACTAGGGGATTGCACTGGGACCCAATGGACGACTGCTATAGTATCCCACGCGCCACCACACACTCCGGCAATGCGTGGGTGTCCAAAGTGATAACAATCACCGGAAAATTTGAAAAACTAAAGGCCAAGGTTCCTACCCTAGGTTGAAAACATCAATTGAAGCCACTATTGTTCTCGGACCTACCCCGAAAAATGGCTGGAAGTGGCTGGAATTTAAATTCAAAAACCGGCCGAAACTTAGGGTTTAAAATCGATTGCCCTATTGTGACAATTAATGAAATCTTACCCAACCATCAGCTAAAGCATCAAAAATAGTCCAGAAACCATACCTCAGTTGTCGGATTTGGTGGCCGGAGGAGAGAGAACGAGGCCAACGAAGATTCGGTGAAAACCGAGCAAATTCCGGCGGCAGGCTCGACGGTGACTACGGGGAAGCTCCGGGGTTCGAAGGTTGTGGCAGCCCGGTCTAAATTCCAACGGAGTAGGGGGCTGAGGTGATAGTTGAGAGAGAGAGAGAGAGAGAGAGAGAGAGAGAGAGAAAGAGAGAGAGAGTTATGGCAAAAATTAAGAAACTTGGGAAGAAGGAGGCGCTCGCATCGTATTTCTGAAACTTTATTCGATTTTTCGCGACAAATAATTAAAAGCGTTGCACAAAATATTTTAAATGAATCTTCCGCGACAAAAAGGCATTAATTTCCGTCGCGCAATGTTGTGAGTCCGCCAAAATTTGGAATTAGGGTTTAGGTTTGTGTGATTTTGTGCGACGAATAAGGAAGAGTGTCGCGCAAAGTTCTCCATTATTTACTTTGCGCGACGCAAAGTAAGCTCTTTCATCACGCAAGGTTGTCATTCAGCCAAAATTTTGGGATTTAGGGTTTAGCGAGAGAGAGAGAAAGTGAAGGGTCTACGCGATTTTGCGCGATGAAGAAGGAACAGTGTCGCGCAATGTTCTCTGTTGTTCACTTCGCGCGACGCAGATAACGCTATCCGTCACTCAAGGTTATGATTCTGCCAAAATTTGGGGTTTAGGGTTTATAGGGGGAGAGAGAGAAGGTGAAAGGTATGCCGATATTGCGCGAAGAACATATGCAGTCATCGCGCAAAGGAATGTTCTGGGTGGAGAGAGAGTGGTTGCGCGATGAAGAAGTACCCCTTTCGTCGTGCAAGCTTGTGACTGACAAAAATTTGGGCTAAGTGTTCAAGGGCGGAGAGTGAAAGGTCTAAATGAGATTGCTCAACGAAAACTACCCTTTTCGTCGCGCAAGCCTATTTGTGTACACTTTGCGCGACCGAGTAGTGGCCCTTTTGTCGCGCAAGATTTTGATTCGCCAAAAATTTGGACTAAGTGTTCAGGGGGAGAGAGTGAAAGGTCTGACTGAGATTGCGCGACGAAGAAGTACCCCTTTTGTCGCGCAAGCCCATTTCTGTACACTTTGCACGACGAAGAAACGTTATTCGTCGCGCAAACCCGAAACCCTAAAACCTAAGCCCTAACCCTAAACCCGAAACTAGTGTTCACCCGTTTTGTTTTTGCTCCTGTGATGGAAGGGTAAAATTCCCCACTGCCTTGGAAACCATTGACTGGTCAATAAGTCAGCTTTCTTTGGTGTGCGAGTGTGCCACTGCTAACCATGAAAATACTAGCAGATTTCTTTCAAATGGATAACTTGCGCCCCAAGTTATTGATTTCTATACAAGTGATTGTGAATTTGGGTGAGGAATATCTCCCAAGTAAGTTCTTTTCTTGCCTCAGACTGGTGAGGACTCACAATTTATCAGAGTATAAGATTGGTAGTTCTGGCCAGAATAAATGATGATAAAGAGGACTGTTTTTAGGCAGAACTACCCTTTACAAGACTTGGAAGGAAAAAATCAACGCTAGAAAGATAAAAAGAAGGCTGGAATTCCATTTCTGCCTAGATAGAAGCTTCTGATCCAGGCTTGACTGAATATGTCTGTGCTGGACTGGACTGTTAACAACTTCAACTGCTCAGCTTTAGCTGTAAATCGATGCCAAAATTCAATTTTGGCAGATCTTTAATCTACTTCAAGCTTTGGGAGGCTTTTGAACGGGCAGAACTGCTGCTTCTTTAGTCTGAAGGGGCAAAAGTGGTTGAACTTGAGGACTTAATGAGCTGGAATTGCACTGTAAAATTGTTAAGGTTTTCATATTTGTGAAAACTCAAGCTCTGCTTGTTCTTGGCTTTTGCTTAACCAAATTTGTAACGAGAGGAATCTCATTTTGAATGACTTATTTTTCTAAGTCTGAACTTTGAGAATTCTGATCCAAAGCTGGTCTCTCTTGTGGTTCAAGTGAGTTTTTGGTTGATTCTTTGTTTGTTTGTTTGATTAATGAATTAAGTGTGTTCAATTCTGTTCACCCTCTCTTATATTTATAAGGAATGCTTTGGAGTATGGTTTCTTTCTTTTAATAATGGGCAGCAAAAATTCTCAAAAGATCTTTTATTTTTAAATGCGAAGAAAAAAGGGTTTTAATCAATTCTGGCAGATAAGTTCTCAACAGTCAGTTCTCAAGATCACTTCCCTGTTTTTCCTGAAAGAGAATCTAACCCCTTTTTAATTCCAACTGCCCCATGTGAGAGCTCAAACCGTGATGGTTAGTTTGATTCTCAGTTTGAACAGCTCCCTATCCTCCTGCTTATCTCCTTTTGAAAATATGACCTGCTTATCTCTTGGGAGAATCACCCCTTTTTTGGAGTAGAAGAAAATATCTCTGAATATATTTATACATATCAATAGGGATTTGATCTTCTGATGGTAGAGATTCAGAGAGGTCTCCTCCTAGTTTGCCTGCTTTTGATTAACACTCTTACTTTGATTTTTCTGAAACCCAAAAATCAGAGTAGGCCCAGCATGTGCCAAATTAAGCCCAAACAATTAGTTTCAATGATCCGACTGGCAAACTTGTTTTTTTATACTTCGAGATCGTATACGCTGAAAATCAGAAAAAACAAACATTCAGGGATCAAGTAACGGGACAAAACTTTTCGACGGTTATAAATGAAAAGTCATTATTTAATGGTTATTTTAACTCCGATTTTGATGATTTTTTACAGCTACATTTCTTGACCCTATATGAATACAATGACTGAATTTGATCTTCAATTTAAGATTTTTACACTAGGGGATACCACATAATCTTATGTTATATTTAACAAAAGTATAAATAAACTTTTCATTGTTGGTGAATATATGGTTTTGATGGCATACGCATTCTACGAAACTAGTTTCAGTAATCCAACTGTCAAACTTGTTTGTTTATACTTCGAGATCATAGACCCCAAAAATCGGGGAAAAAAAAACATTCAGAGATCAAGTAACGGGACAAAACTTTTCGACAGTTATAAATGAAAAGTCATGATTTAACGGTTATTTGAACTCCGATTTTGATGATTTTTTTACAGCTACACTCCTTAACCCTATATGAATACAATGAACTAATTCGATCATCAATTTCTAATATATATGTGTGCATATATTATATTACATAAAAATAAAATATATTTGCGCAACGAGAGATATCCTTTCGTCGCGCAAAATTTCATCACGCGACGGATGTTAGGTTGTCACGCAATGTTGTAACTTTACACGACGAGTAGCTTCTGCATTCCGCAAACTATGCCCGAAGAGAAGAGATTCGTCGCGCAAGGATTTGGCGCCATTTACATATTTAGGTCAAATTGTGTATTATTTTCATTTTTTTAAAAATGTTTTGTGTCAATAATTTTCAAACTTTGTATCAAAAGGGTTTGGATATATTTATTTACTAATGTTTTATAACAAATTTTTTTTTTCATTTTCTTGTATATCTCAATTTATTTAATAATGTCTCACGCGGTTGTTGTTGCGTTGAACTAACTCGCTTGTCCTTTTTCTTTTATAAAGTGAAGTGATAAACTTTCACACTCATGAAAAGTCAATAAAAGTCAGAATTGGATACAACCCCCTTAGGTTAGATTGTTTATCATTTTCATTTTTTAAAAGTGTTTGTTCAAAATAATTTTAAAAATTATTGATATATTGATTTACCGATGTTTTATAACTAAATTTATTTTAATAATGTTTCATTTCTCCACATATATAAGGTTTGGATATAACAACTACATATATTCAAACATTTGTATTACACAAAATCTGTACACTAACATAATAAAATTACAAACAAATTCATTATTCATCATCTGAACTATAATAACTTTCGTTATCGTCGCTATCATCACTCTCGGTCTCCCAATCCTCCTCCTCCCCTTCTATAACTACATCATCGTCGTTGCTCAGGCCCATTGCAACATCGTATCGTGGAAGATCACCGAGGTCAATTGTAATTGACTGAATCGGTATTTCGATTGAAAACACTCGTTGTATTTGAAACGGTTCTTGTATAACATTTGTATCTCGAAGTGTTTCCGCATCATTTTCCGTTGAAGATTCTAAACGTTGGTCAGCCACATTGTCAACGTCATTGTCAGTTGGGTCTAGTTCTAGTATAGCATACACGTTCCTATAATCCATCTTCTGAACAACTTTCCAACCGCTCCCGGCTTTAGGGTCATCTAGATACACAATTTGTGTTGCCATGTTTGCCAAAATGTAAGGGTCGTCATCATACCAAGTTCTATTAATGTTCACAGATTTTAAGCCATGGTCGATTTTATCACTTCCCGACCTATTTGGGTTGGTATCAAACCACCGACACTTAAACATGATCACTTGGTATCAATCTTTGTAAAGCAATTACACGACAATTGTGAGTTTGCCATAGAAATCAATGTCCGTACTTTCACCTCCACCTGAGACATGGACACCGCTGTTTTGCATACACAACTTGTCATCTCGTGCAGCCCCCAAAAATTTGACGCCGTTAACATTACAACATTCAGCGCAAATCGGGCCAAACGCCAAGTTATATAACTCATCACTGTAAGTGGGGGAATTCGATGATTTCAACTTATTCACATAATATTATACAAAACCATTCACATGTTAGTCTGACAAAATTAAATACTACAATTTATATTTGTCAAATACAAAACACTTATAACTTAAAGAATCGAAAAACCATTGTGGAAACAATTCACGGTGTTTCTGGGCAACCAAATGTGATGGATGTTCTCGCTTCATCATCTCTTCATGCTTATATAAGTATTCCATTATCGCATCACAATTGTTCAGTACGAACCAATGTGCTACCTCCATGTCATTTCTAGAAAATGACTCTCCTCGTCCAGGATCTCCAAAGGGTCGTGCGCTTTGGGCAAAAACAGAAAGTTTTTCATTTCTCATATCTCCGTCATTATTGCGATGAGGATGATTAAAAGCCGTCTCCACATCTTTTAAATACATTCCACAGTAAGTAAGCGACTCATATTGAACCCAAGCCTCTATAATTGATCCTTCGGGCTTCTCCCTATTGCGTACACTTTTTTTCAGCTCTCCGAGAAGCCTGCCAAAATAAAACGATATGATACAAATTAGCAAGCCTGTGATAATGATGCATACACAAACGATAATGATTATATACCTTTCTATTGGATACATCCAGCGATAATTGACAGGACCAGAAAGCAATGCCTCTTCTGGCAAGTGAACCATCATGTGCATCATACTTGTGAAGAAAGCTGGAGGAAATATCATCTCAAACTTGCATGGGACTTGGACAATGTCATGGCGCAATTGAAACATGTTTGTCTTTCGCAATGTTTTTGCCGTCAGTTGGGAAAAAAATCTGGACAACAACATGATTGGCTTCACTACATCTTCCGGCAATAGGTGTCGAATACCCACAGGAAGTAGGCGTTGCATAAACACATGGCAATCATGGCTCTTAAGTCCAGTAAATTTACCCCCGTCAACATTCACGCAATGTGCGATATTAGAAGCATACCTATCGGGAAACTTTACAGATTATACAAACTTTAGAAACTCTTTTTTATCATTCGGTTCCATATAAAAGAATGCAAGATCCCTTCTAGCTTTATCACTGTCCCTATTCATCCATAAACCCCTTCGTATGCTCATTCTTTCCAAATCAAGACGAGCTTTGATCGTGTCCTTTGTCTTGCCCTCGATATCTAGAATCGTGCCAACCAATGTGTCGAATACATTTTTCTCAACATGCATCACATCTAGATTGTGCCTCAATTTGAGTTTCGACCAATATGGGAGCTCAAAAAACATAGGCTTGTGCGTCCAGTTCATATGTGTAGAAGGTCTAGTCCAACTAACTATTTTCCCGAACGGAGCAAAATCCAAACGGTTAAGCTGTTCCAAGATCTCATCACTGTACCATTCTCTAGGTCTGAGGCGACGCTCTGTGTTACCCGTCGAACTCTTTATCTTTTTCCCACCACTCGTGGTCCCAAGGCAACCATCTCCGATGACCAAGGTAACAAACTTTTCCAACATGTCAACCAGAAGTTACATCTTCCTTGCATACAGGACATGCCATATAACCCTTTATGCTCCACCCAGAAATCATTGCATATGCTGAAAAATCATTCACAGTCCACATAGCTGCTGCCCGCAAAGTGAACATCTTCCCAGATGATTTATCGTACGTGCGAACACCGTTTGTCCATAAATCCTTCAGCTCATCAACCAGCGGCCTTAAGTAATCATTGATTGACATGCCATGATCTTCAGTTATCAAAACAGTCATCATCATGTATTCTTTTTTCATGCATTTCCAAGGCGGCAAATTATATGGGAATACGAAAATCGGCCAAGTGTTGTGGTGTTGGTTTAGAACCCCATACGGATTGAATCCGTCAGTGGCAAGTCTCAATCTAACATTTCGGGGATCAACAGCAAACTCGGGGAATGTTCGATCGAACTCTTTCCATGCCTCCCCATCTGCAGGATGCCGCATCACATCATCGTCTACCCGTTTTTCCTTATGTCATCTCATGTCTGTGGCAGTATGCATCGACATATACAATCGCTGCAACCTAGGTTTCAGGGGCAGATAACGCATGACTTTTTGTGGGATCTTGGTCGTTCTATTCTGAGATGTCATTTTGAACCTCGACTCATTACATATAGGGCATGTATCCAATGTTTCATGCTCTTTGTAGAATAACATGCAATTGTTTTTGCAAGCGTGAATTTTTTCATAACCCAATCCAAGACCATTCAACACCTTTTGCGCATGTTTATAGTCTTTCGGCAAACAATTGTCCGTCGGAAGCATTCTCTTGAAAACCCCCAAAAAGTAATCGAAACACAGGTTCGACATACGATACTTTATTTTCCCGTGCATTAGCTCCACAATGGCCGTGAGAACGGAAAAGCTCTCGCACCCTGGGTATAACTCTTGGTTTGCATTTTTTAACAGTTTTTCATATTGTTCAAACTCCGCACTGTCTATTGGTGTAGGCACGTCATCTTCCCCTTCCTGATTGATGTTCGTTGATGCAAATGGAAAAACATCCTGTATAATATCCATGACTTGATCATTATGATCCACAATAGGTTCAACATTGTCCACTCTTGTGGCATTTGAAGACGAAACATGGTCTAATTGTTCCCCGTAAAGGTTCCAAATGCTATATGTCTCAATTATTCCATTCCTTACTAAATGAAATCCAACATTTTCAATTGTCTCCCACAATGTGTTGTTACACCTCCTACAAGGATAACGGATTCTAGTTGCACCCGGGTTGTGTCTACGTGCAAACTCAATAAAATCCTCGATTCCATCCAAGTATTCGTCTGCGCATCTATTCGGGTTCTGTATCCACCTTCTGCTCATAATTCCTGAAACCACAATCACAACACAACAATCACAACAACTTCATACGAAGTTATAATGTCACCTTATGCCTTCGGTAAGGGCCCTATCCCATTCGGGAATGCATAGTCTTGTCACGTAACCTACGGCTACATGAGATTAGATTTCGACGTTGATGAATTTCGCCAGCATCTCGATACAGTTCTTGAGGTGGGCATAGGTATAAATACCTACGTACCACCCGAAGAACGTACCAAGATGACACCGAAATCTCCACAATCGAAACCTAATCATGTAGCCGTAGATTATGTCACAACACTATGCATTACCAAACTGTCCAAATAATGGGACAATTCAAGAATTAATTGGACCGCAGTCATGCTTTACGCATCCATGCACGAAATCCAACTAATCTCGAACGGGAAACTAAGTGTTACTAAACATAAAAATAAAAGTACAAAGTTAATTTCAATTAACTTCGTACATCACAACACATTGTGCTACGTCACGCACAATTTAACACATAATATAAATATAACTTCACAAAAAAAATATAAACATAACAAACTAACTTTAACATTTTTAATATATAAAATGAATAAAATACATTCTCAATCGTTATCCACCAATCGCTAATTACAAATATCCCTAACGAAAACAAAATTAATAGTGTTAGTACGAATTTACATTAATACTTTTTAAGTAACGACAAAAATACTTACCCAATGAATGTACTGAATTCCCACAGAAGCAGCGGCAGAGAGGTTGAGAGAGAGGCAGAATGCTATTTTTTTTGCATTTTGCCTCTGCAATGGCAGAATTCTAATATGAAGAAGAAGGACTTTGCACGACGAACCCTTGATTTCGTTGCACAAACTACCGTCGCGAAAAACCACTTTTCGGTCGCACAAAACAACATTTTCATCCCGCAAGCACATGTCGCCATCACACTTTTGCGCGACGCATGACATAGTTCGTCTCACAAACTTTCGTCCCACAAATTCTAATTCTTGTCGCGCAAAAACAACTTTATGTCGTGCTAAATCAATCTTTCGTCACGCAAGAATGTACCGACATCAAACTTTACAAGACGAACACTATTTCCGTCGTGCAAAAAAACATATCCCCCGCAAGTATTTTGGCGCCCAAAAAAAAGTATCCCTCGTTTTCTTACACGACGATAAATGATGTCGTCGCGCTAAGTTGTCTTTTGCGACGAAAATTGTCATCGCACAAGTTTTTGCCGCCAAATAACGGGACCCACTGTTTTCTGTCCACCTTTACACAACGAAATATCCAACCGTCGTGCTAAGTTCTCTCATGCAACAATTTTTCTCATCGCACAAGTGTTTGGCGCCAAAAAAAAAGCCCAGGTTTTTAGTTCTCACTTTGCGCGACGAAGAAATTTTCTGTCGCGCTAAGACATTTTGCGCGACGAAAAACGTGGTCGCGCCAGTTTTCAGTGGTTTGCGCGAAGAATATTTTTTTCCGTCGTTGCAGTGTATTTTGCAGGACGAATTAATGTTCGTCGCGTAAATAGTAAAACGTAGTAGTGATAGTTGGAAGGGAAAAATGATATTGACTCGTCCCCTGCGAGAGCCTCGTCTCCAATGCTTTTGACCTCAACATGCTCAACGTGCTCTGATTCACCTTCATCGTCGAATAGTACCCTGAAAACCATAAAGTACGTAGTCATGCATTTCCTAGAGGAGTTTTCCTTTTATATGACAAATCTTCGAACAAGTACAGATATCCCTTGGTTGATTTCACGAGATATGCTCGACCTTTATAATGGTCTTGGTCTTGGAACATACAATGAGGTTATGTTGTAAAATATCTCTTAACCAACATGTACAGTGAGTTAAGGTCGAACGACGCAATCGATCTAGTAACACTTCCAAATGCATATGATGCAAATCTAATGCCAGTCCAATCATTTTGTCCGCTTTTAATGAAAGAAAAACAGTTAGAACTGCATAATTGTCCGGATTCAAAGCTGGATCCGCCGACAAAATAACGTTTGGGGGGCGATCAAACAATTCACAGTGATACAATCCCGGAAGACGGCACTGGTTTGCTGCTGAAAAGGTTGAAGAGAATTATATGGGAATTCAATATTCTGAACATTCATGTAGAGTTTTCCTTCACAAAAGTTATAGCGCTTTGCCAATTGGTATTGGGTTGGGATCATGAGCATGGGAGGTATGTTGTTACGTCATCGAACGATTTTAGACTTTTGCAAGACGAACCGTTCTTTGCAGACGGCAGCAAATCGAGCATGATCAATGGGTTCCAACAACTTATCAAGGACAAAAAAACATAGAGGAAGGCTTGCCCATTCTGAATCAAAATCAAACTCAGAAACAGAATCAGAATCGCTCAATGTATCTCTAGCACCACCACCACCCATGTTCCTAAACCTAGCTGCGGTAACTGTCAAGCCTCTTCTTAATCTGCTTTATATTTTTTTTCTTATTGTTGGGGCCTTTTAGTTTAGAAAATAGAGGAAGATATATCCACTAAAAGAAAAGCAAAATTTTATTGCATCCGAATCAATACCAATGCCGACAAAAATAAGCAGAAAAAATTACACAATCAAATTGCCTAAAATCTGTACACAGGCTAACCTAATTTAGGAAATAAATTTTACCCTTTATTGTTTCCATACGAGCACCTGACAAAAAGTGTATGAGAAGTAGACGACCATATATACACCAGATCTTGCTTGTATCATTTTGGTTTTCCTTTCACCACTCCACAGACCTGCCTATACTAAAAATGGCCTTCAACTAACTCAACATCCTCTGTACAAAAGATCTCGAGACCCATCCTTCAATTTTCGGGTCCCTCCATCTGCATTGCTCTCATGTTCATTTGATAGTATTCTATAAAAAATCTTGGGATGCTCTAAAGATACTTGGAACTCTACCTGAAAATTTCAATAGGAAGAACATCGGAGGAGTGAAGTTGGTGCTCAAACCTCCAGCAGCTCATAATCTAAGTACTGCTCATTTAGGCTGGAAATAGCTATCATAAATAGAAAGTTTATCAAATGCCTCGTAGTTGGCCTTCAGTCCGACAAATTGGCTACCCAACCGAGCACAGCCAGCATCTGGCCACCTGCAGCCTCCATCTCGCATGCGTAAAGGGCATAAAGTTTCGCATACTCGATCAATTGGGTTGCTGGAAACCACATCATCTGCCATAACTGTAATTGAAACAGAGAGGTCTGATTTATCATCACGCTGTACAGCGCCATCTGCTTCTCTTTTTGAGGGATAAGATGACTTCAGTGGAGGTTCAATTTGGCTGCTTTCAATGTTGACAGTGCAATCTCCACTGCCTGAAAAGTGGACGTTGCATCCCAGTGATTGTATAGCTCGCTTTATGGCCTCACTTTCCTTGCTTGCCCTCTTGGCCAAAATCATAGCTGAGCTGCTGACTTGCTTTTCATTTTGCAAATCTGCACTTAGCAATTCCATAACAGCAGTGATTTCTTTAGCTTTCCTTTCTGCCGCTTCTTTTTCCTGTGAGGAGTTTATACAGAACCAACATACCAACAGTAAATGTTATTATTCATGTCACATAAGCAAATTTGGAATGCCATTTTATTTCTAGGAAGGTAACGATCAGCGATGCGCAAAACATAAATCATTGCTTTCAATAACATAGTAAGCACAACAACAAAATGTTAATTGACTATCCCAATTGTTTGTTGTATCCTTAATCGGGTGAGTGTGAAATAGGGGTGGTAATTTCAAATACAACTTGAAAGCAACAAAAAGATGCATACACATGTTTCTTTTGGTTGGCATTGTTGACACAATGAAACAGATCATATTCAGGTTGGATCAAATAAAATAAATTGACATATATAACGACCAAAAGGCCACTTGGGTTCAATTTCACAAGTAACTATGTTGCAGTATGTTTAAAGTTTTGGCTGAAATCATGAGCAATATTGAAAGAGATTATAAATAAAAGATTAAGAACAGATACCTTTGAAACATAAAACATATGTTTAACAGGCATTTCATGAACAAAATGTCTGGTTATCTTCTGCTCTCATTTCATAATCCACTTTTTATAAACTCTCGATTGAGTGATTTTTCAATTTTCTTTTTTAGTCAGAAAAAGAGTCTTAGTCTTGAGTTCTAGAGAGCTCAAGAACACACAAATATATATACTTAAAGCTTTCGACTGGAACATCCTACTAGGTTTGAACCTGCAATTTAACAGTCCAGCCATTCATTCATTCACTCACTCAGTCACTCAACTCAGTCACTCACTAGGGCCGAAAAGTAAGAACTATTACCTTCTGTAGTTCAGAGAATTTAATATCCATCTTCCTAAATTGAGCTTCAACATCTCCAGCTTGAGCCTCTGAGGGACAAGCCCATCGGAGATGGAATTGAGGCCAAAGAGTTGGTGCTAAAGCTGCTGCTGGAGGCAATATTGGACCATCATGCTTCAATGGATCATAAAAGTAGTTATAGTGCACATGAGAACTTCCCTTCGAAGCACGCAAATCGGCCAAATATGCCCACATGCATCCACAAGCTTCAGGTACACCACATTGCTGCCTCTCCCTTTCACTGAAATAGATAAGCAAACAGGAGAATTAAGTTAGTCTATTTCAAATTTCAGTACTTCTCTCAAATAATAAAAAAATAAATTAAATAACCAAACCATGATGAACTCAAAGAAGCTCACAGAAAAAATAACACAAAAAGACAAAAAGACCAAAAAACAAAAAAACAAAAAAAACAAAAAAGGGTGAGAAGAACAAATAGATGTTGACCAAGCGAAGGATTTGGTTTTTGACACTGCCAGTAACTACGATATCAATGCATATGAACTAGAGAACCTCACAACTATCAACATTCCAAAGACACGGACACACCAAGTGATTAACAATGAAATATACTACAAATATCATGAGTAGAAATCAAAATATAATAAGAAATTTCTGAACTCATTATCATTAGTCTCCCCTGAACAAAATTTGATATTCATTCCAATGCATAATGTACGTCGTTGATAAAGTTTAATCCTTTCCAAGCTTCAAAAGCGTAGTTGAAACAGCTAGTCGATCTACTAGATCCACTACCTTGCCCTATCAAATATGTCTAAGCATTTGAAACACAACCTGCTCTAGATTCTTCCCCATCCTATCCAGACTATCACTGCGGCCTGCTACATGCAATCATATGATGACTTAGTAATACGTGTACAAGTACATTATTACAGAGTAAATTATGATGACTAGGTTACACAATTCACTTCCGAAATCTCTATAGTTACTGCTCAAGTCTGCTGCGTAATGGTCTGCTGGAATAACCTTTGTTATTTTGTTTTTTTACCTGTTTATATCTTAGGTACCTGACTCCACACCCTAAAGTAATAAACCCTAGCCAGGAAAAACATAATAATAATAATAATTTAAAAACCAACAGAAACTAAACTGCCACTTGAGCTCCTCATGTATGCATATAATGATATTCAAAGGTTACCTTCTACAAAATGCAGGAGCTTATTTAATTAGGTTTTGACCTTTCGGGCTCTTTTGGTAGAGTTTTTTTTTTTGGAAAGTAGAAACTATTTATGTTGAAATTAGGATTTAATTTTGTTAGGGCGAAGGTTTTTTTATCCTCTTATAAATAGAGGCTAAAAGCTATGTTGTAAATTACTTAAAATTTCAATTACCAATAAAGTTTAGCCTTCAGCTTTTAAATTTCTTTTGAGAACTCAAGGTTTGTCATTTGTTTCCCTCTCATAACCATGGAAGATCAATATCCATCAACGTGTATGCCTACATCATATCACGCTCGTAAGAAAAGCCAATTCTGAGATACTAAACAAAACTGTGAATTCACCACCTTGAGATATCTAGATATTGGTTTGATTCTCATCATGCAGTCTAATCTAAAGGAAGACAGATCAATTAAGAGTATGCAGAAGATCAAAGCCCCATAACAAACTGTTTCAAGGATAATGCTCATAAAGGAATTTACCTATTACAGAAGAAGTTTCCAAAGCGACAGGATAGAACACAGTCCACAAGATCCACCAGGAAAGCCTAAATCATAAACCAGTAGAAAAGTTAATGAACTATTGTTCCCTGACCACAAAGGGCAATTAAAAGAACAGATAAAGCTGTTCGATAACACATTCAACTACATTTGTGATCAGTTTCATCAAAAAGAGAAACAAGTGTATTTTGGAAGAAGGATACATACTGAAGAGAACTCAAAAGCGAAAGGATACATTCGCAACAATTGTGAAACGCAATCAACCCACTGCATCAAAATACAAGCTAGATTAATTACTGTATGAATGCTGAAGACAACAATTTTCGGTGCAACACATTCTCCTTTCAAATGGAGAGAAAGTACAGAAAAATCTAGCATACAACATTTGAGATGAAAGAGGAAAACTTGACAACAAACTGGAAGTTGGACTGAGAGTGAATTGCTGCTCGAATCAAATTCAACAAAGAACGAACCACTTATTTAACAATTTTGGTAATACGTAATTATATATTGGATGTCACTCTCACATCTCTCAATTAATAAACCTCGCTGCTCCTATTTGTGCACAAGAATAAAACATCAAATAACAAACAAACAATGCATTTGTAACTAGAAACCTCAAAAACATAAAGAATTGGAGATGATGTACCTTTATTGCAACTAGTGTAGAATACCTCACTTCAGGTGGAACAACAAAATTAGATGAACAATAGTGAATTAAGATAAGTCCTAAGAAGATGCAAAAGATAACTACCTAGATACACATTTAATCCACAACCTCTATAAGGTATTTTATGAATATTTTGTTTAGGAGGTGTGCGAGTTGAGCAAAATATTTTTGTTTTTAACTTTCTAGGAAGATGGGAAAAGAGGTGGATGGCGAAAGTTGGGAGGTGACAATCGTGCTGCTCTGTCATCTCTTCAGATTCTAAACATAGCCATTGGATAATAACCAATAGCTTATTAATTGAAGGATATCCTCAACATTTAAAATTTGACATTGATTTAGAAGTATAAAATAGTGAGTTAATACTTTATCATATACCCACATAACAATGCGCACCTGCAGAAATATGGGAGAATAATTGTTCTGTGCGTGCGAAGTAGGCGGTTGAGATGTGAACGATGCTGATGGCTGACGCATGGGTGATGACTGGATACTCCCAGTAGAGGACTGCCTTGTCAATTCAGAAGGTATGCTGCAACTTCCTGTTACAGTTGACATGCCCACTCGATCTGCAAATGGATGACCAAATGCTAGCCAATCTTTCTCAATAAGTGCCTGCATAGAAGAAAATAATCAAAGTATTTTTTAGTCACATTACATCACAAGTGCACGTTCTGAATGTTCCAAGTCAAAAGACATTCGCTACTGTCA